TACTGAAATTTTTGTGATCCTATGCATGCAGGTTAGCAGTGCCTTCATATCTCCATGTTTAAAATAGTAGTGATTTTAAATGTCCATTCTATCTCAATAAAATTTTCATACCTAATGAAAGAATATTAAAAAAATTCATCTTAAAATGGCTCAGTATAAACTTAAGGATGATTATATTTATACCATCATTTTTATAGCTCAGTTGAATGTTTTAAATATTTTATAACTAATTAATTAGAAAGACTGGCTACTGACAACCTATGTTGCAATAATCTATTGTCAAAATAAAAGCTTGTGTCAAACAATGTTTGTGGTTACTTCTAAGTGAATCAACCTTAGTGACTAGCTGTACATGAAATATTTATAATGTGTGAATGTACAAAGGACAGAAAATAACTAATATTTAAAATGTTTCAATCAAATAAAGTTATTCAGTCTTTCAAAAGCATAAAACAAAGCAAAGTTAGAAATATTCTCACCAACACAAAGAAAAATTTGAAAAACACACAAAAATAAAAATTCCCCAAGAAAGTACACTGCCTGCCTTGGGAGTTAGAAATGTTCTTTAATTTGCTTTTGGTAAAATGTTCCAGGTACATGGTAGTTATTTCCATTTTACTGGACAAATCAGACTCCTTCTCAAAGCCTTTTGGGAGTTACATCACTATAGCGAGAAAAAAGTATTCCTGTTAAGAAGCAAAAAACATAGATTAAGCCTTTTAAAAGTGCTGATTTAAAAAATAAAGTAACAAAATATAAACAAAATGCTTAGTAAGTGAAAACTAGCTAGCTTTCATGACATAATTTAAAGCCTTTTATCAGGTATTTTCTCCCTGGTTGCAGACACCTTGTCAATTCTAGAAAAACTGCTCAGACATTCTACCCAGGAGGGCAGCCCAGTGGGCAGTTTATTTTCCTTCTCACATCTGGCTTAATGAGTAGCACTTTTGCAAACTTAGCCATTTTTAAGAAAGAAGAAAAGAAGGATTTCATGCGAAAAGATTAAATGAAAATAAGAAACAGACATTACTGTAGTTTATTTCCATCCAGCCTTCCTGTAGAAGACCATGACATTCATAAAATATGCCACAGGATCTTAAGCACCAAAGAAAGTTCCAGAGGTCGCCCTGTCAATGGCCTCCCCCTAGTGGGACTGAAAGAGATTAAGACCAGGATAAAAATGAAAGATTTTCGGGAAAACCAGCCTACTTATAATCTGAATGTAACCTTTGAGGTCAAGAAGTTATTTCTTACCATAGATAAGATTTTTTGCCCTAAAGACAAGGAATTTGTTTAAGAGGAATGTTATCTATATTATGCTTATGACTCTTAAAGAAAACACATTTTTCACTTGGGAAAAATTTTGCCTTGTAAAACTTTGCTGGGTGTGGTGGTGCACGCCTAGAAGCCTTGTACTTGGGAGGCTGAGGCAGTCGGATCACTGAGTTCCAGGCTAGCCTGGGTTACAATAGTGAGGCCAGCCTGAACTACCCAGTGAGACTGTCCCAACAAACAAAACAAACAAAACCTTGTACTTTTAAATTGTTTAATTCTAATTCTTCTAAATAAGTGGATCTAATAAATTCTTTTTTTGTGTATAACCAAACGTGTATTGCCAGTCTTCAACTTGAATAAAATCAATGTGATTCAGATACGGTAGTAGCTCATTTTCCTCATTAACCCTCTGTAATAACAAATATCCAAAATCCTCCTCATCATCAATCTTATTCACACACACACACAAATGTTTTGTTTTGTTTTTTTTTTTTTTTGTTTTGCTTTAGAAAATTTGAGCTCTTGGAAGAGCTCGGAAAATCTCATTACTGTGGTAATTCCAAGAAGAAATAAGGCCCCAGTCCTAAATGAAGATTTGTTCTGTCCCTGTCACATACAAGATGTCATACAACCATGAGGCTTTCTAAGGAGTTACTAGTGTAGAAGAAAACTCTCTACTGTGCAGTATTTAAGGAAAACTCTCTCAGAAACTTCTCTCAGAAGAAATGAAGACGCCTTATGTATTTTGTTGCCCCTTGGGAGCATGTCCTTGAAACAAAATCAAGAGATGATAAAAGTAAATCAGAATAAAGAGCATTTAACATTTTAACATTAACTTTATTGAAGTATAATTTACATATGGTAAAGCTCAGCCATTTCAAGCTCAGAATTTTGAATTTTAGGAGCTTTAGCAAATTGTATAGTCACCATCACAATCTAGTTTTAGGACATTCATTTCCATCACTCCATTAAGATTCCTTTGTGAGTTATTATTTGCAGTTAAATCCTTTTCCCAGCTCCAGCCCTAGGCACACACAAATTCTGTCTGAGTAGATTTTTGCTTTTTTAAAAATCATATTTCTCTATCCAAATTGAGGTTTTTTTTTTTAATTTAAAAGAAAGAAATGCATGGATATTTCCTATAAGTTAAAAGACACTGTCTATTGAGGAAGATACCCACCCTGCCAAAATATTCTTCAGAACTCTTAAGGGCAGCCAGGGGACAGATCCATCTGTTGAGCTAGACAGTCAGTGTGGACTTTAAGATTTAATTATCTCCAGTTAGAGATAATAGACTTAAATTTCAAGGACTTGTGATAATGAAGGAATACTGTAACAAACCCTGTTATCTGGACTAAGACAGTGGCTCCATCTCCAAAGTTAATGCCCCTCCAAAAAAAAAGAACAGCTTTCAAGTGAAAGGGTTAACTCCTAAGCACTTGGAAGATAAGGTGGCCCTTAAGGTCTCATAGATATTTTATTTTAAAGTATTTTGGGTACAGTAAATATATCAAATTATTATGTTTTTGATTGACAAAATACTTTCATAACCACTTATTTCCTTCCTCTAGAATCTGTGCACTTTGAGGAAGATTTAGCTTCGGATTTATCTTGCTTACATCTTGATTTGCACATTCCCTCTACTCTGGAAGGTACACTCTGCTTCCCAGAAACTAACTGTTTTACAAGGAGCCCTTTTATATTTGAAAGAGAAAACTGTTTTGTCAAGTGATGATGAGGAATTCCAAAAAAACTAACCCAGACAGCATTCTCTAACTTTGGGGAAAGCTATGGCACTCTTTCAACCTGGAGTGTTGGTCACAAAGATTCTTCGAGAATTATTTTACACCACTTGCAGGGAACTGATATTTGCTGTGGTTGTTTTTAATTCCTTACATCAACACAAACAAATGTTAGTTTTGTGTCTTTAAAGTGCTGGGGATTTTATAGCCCATAGAGTTCAAATTATCCCTGTGGCAGTTACTGAAGATGGAACTTTTGGAGAAAACAAGTGCCTTGCAAAAATAAAATATTTTGTTAGTAGCTTAATATGTTCTCAAAGCAAAAGGAACCTCTGAGCCTCTAGGTAAGGAGGAATCTAGCTGTCAGGATTACTGTGAAAGTCTTTTGACTTTTCCTCTTCAAGACCTTTGCTAATGTTTCTCTGAAAAGGACCTATGTGATGTGCTGCTAAGTGCTGAAGACTCCTTGGGTTCCCCCTCCACATTCTGAGTTTAGAGGGAAAGACAGGGAAATATTAAATGGGAATTTTCTAAGTTCTTGGAGCAAATAACAATATCAATGTCAAAAATCTCGCCTTAGGGGCTGGAGGGGTGCGGAATTCTGCAGCGAAACTCGCGTCTGCGAAAAAGAAAATGCCAAATAAGGGCAGGATGGGGGCTGTAGGAGATCAAGACTGTGAAAGACCCCCCCACACACACACCACCACCACCACGGCTTTTAGTGATTAATGAAATCCTGCTTTGTGTGTAAACGGTACAGCTAACGCGACCAGGACAGAAGGTTTCTCCCTCTGCCCAGCCCACCAGACTTTGCAGTTCTCAGGGCGCTCACTACTGATTTCTCCAGCAGTGGAAGGGGCATCCCATCCCCTGGAAAGGAAAACTTTACTGCATATTTGAAAAAGGAAACATTGTCCTTTGAGAATAAAGTTCTCCGAATTTTCCCCAGGTCTGCAAAGCGCCCGGAAGAACTCGTGGTACTTGGTAGAAGTTTATTAATTAAGGGATCGCTTTTCGCCTTGGATCATTTTTCGCCTTAAATTCCCCTTCCCCAGCTGGTCCTTCCAGAACTGGGCAGGTAGAGCTTGCACAAAGGCAGAAGTCTGAATAGGATGCTGTGAAGCCAAAGAAAGGGGATTGTGAGCCAGCATGTATTGGACTCAAGAAAATCAAAAGCACAAAGCCGGCCCCGCCCTGGGACTGCGAAGTCTGGGTTCCTACAGCTGCAAGGTGGTGGCTGCTTTATGGGTTTTCCTCCCCACAAAACACACTCCTGGGACCGGCGATTTAACTCAGTGGTTCCGCCGCCTGCTTCTCAAGCTCAAGGCCCCGAGTTCAATTCCCGGTACCAAAAAACAAACAAACAAACAAAAAAAACCCACATACACTCCTGCTAGCAGATTTTTTTCAGAGTTGACGTAATGTCCTCAAACACCCCCCCCCATTAAAAATAAGGTAAAGGGGAGCTTGCAATTCCCCCACTTCAGCCAATTCCGGCCCCTCTCTTTCCTAGCGGTCTGCCACTTCCCAACCCTTCCCCCAACTACAAAAAAAGTTTGACGACCGCAAAGGAAACCAAAAAAAGTTCTGCCCCAGGCCTGGCGGGCGATCAGCATCTCTTTTGTTCAGGGCGAACCCACAGCGCCCTGTGACGTCACCCACGCCCGGGCCAATTCCCCCACTTCAGCCAATTCCGGCCCCTCTCTTTCCTAGCGGTCTGCCACTTCCCAACCCTTCCCCCAACTACAAAAAAAGTTTGACGACCGCAAAGGAAACCAAAAAAAGTTCTGCCCCAGGCCTGGCGGGCGATCAGCATCTCTTTTGTTCAGGGCGAACCCACAGCGCCCTGTGACGTCACCCACGCCCGGGCCCCTCGGCTCGCGGTCGTCCGGGCCGGCGAGGGCGCCAGGGGGACGGAGGGACCTGCAGCCGCAACTTCTCTGGCCCTCTCCATCCCTTCTGTCCCTCTACCAGTCCCTTCCCCAGGGGACCTTGGAAGGGACTTTTCCCGCAGGTTGCAAAGGGAACCAAACTTGGTGGCCGCTGGCTTCCCCGGTGAGGGCGGCTCTCCTGCCACCGACTCAAGATGCTTAGGGGTCCGGGGCCCGGGCTGCTGCTGCTGGCCGTCCTGTGTCTGGGCATAGTGGTGCCGTCCACCGCGGCCTCGAAGAGCAAGAGGCAGGCTCAGCAGATCGTGCAGCCCCAGTCCCCGGTGACTGTCAGTCAGAGCAAGCGTGAGTACTGACCTAGGGGCTGTCGCTGGGATGGGACCAGAAAAGCCAACTAAAGTTGTGGCTGAAGTTTTGCGAGCGCGCGCGCGGGTGTGACTGTATGTGTGTGAGTGCGCTTTAAAAAAATTAAGAGAGAACAGCCTTGGACACAAAAAAGATCTTGGTTTGAGCACACTGATTGTGAGGGCTTAGGAGAAGATGATGCATTGGGCGACATGGGTCTGGGATATCTAACAGGGTCCTCAATTCTATTCATTCAAACTGACTTACGAATGAATCAGAACTCATTTAAAGAGAAAAATGTTTGTATGTCTATAAATTTCCGTTTGAGATCAGTGTGGTCCTTAACTGCTCCGTATTTTCCTTGTCACTAAATAATTGGTTAAATATTTTCAAAACGAGGGTGGGAAGAAGATAGAGGAAGCTATGTTTGAAAAATGGTAATCGGTTCAGATTGTTTTGGGTGCCCTCAGAATTCTTCCCCGAACCGAGGTTAAAACTCCTCATTCAGGTTTTTAGACGCACCCTCCCTTTTCCTGTGGCTAAATGAAATTTTAAAGTTGTTCGTGACTGGGATTTAGCTCAGTGGCACCACGCCTGCCTTGCAAGCACAAGGTCCTGAGTTCCATCCCTGATACGGAGAAGAAAAAAAAAGTTGTCCTTCTTGACTTATTTTTCCAAAAGAATATAGAAGTTCCTTGAATTTTAAAAATGTATTTGAGTTATCTACCTTTCAAAATGCTACACTTTGATGGAAACCCCTTGCCAGATGGAAATAACATCCTTGTGTACCATTTAGCCAATGAAGAGGGGAGGAGGAAGGGGGGGAGGGGGAGAGAAGGGAGAAGAAGAGAAAGAGAAGAGAAAAAAAGAAAAATATCCACCTACATAAATTGTGTTTAATTATTTGGAAAACTAGCTTCCATATCTGTCTCTTTGCAGAGTACTGATTTTAATCTCATGATATTCTGGTGGTTATTTTTCTGTGTTTGATACTCAGACTCATCAATTCAGTTGTGCAAGAAAATTCCATAATTTGGAAAAAAGAAGGGATGGAAATGTATTAACGCTTTCCTTCAATTATTTACAGCTGGTTGCTATGACAATGGGAAACACTATCAAATAAATCAACAATGGGAGCGCACCTACCTAGGCAATGCCTTGGTTTGTACCTGTTATGGAGGAAGTCGAGGTTTTAACTGTGAAAGTAAACCTGAACGTAAGTGGCTGGGAGCCTGATCGTTAATATCTTCTCATAGACAAGCTTTGCTTGTTAGTTAAACTTAGTATTAAGAAAAATCCATACACCACTATTCTAGTGAAATTACCTGTTATGTCTTCTGTATAAGCATATGATAAATGCTTCTATGTTCTTACTTTTACTTTTAAAACAACACAGATGTGGTGACTGCCTTGCAAGAGCAAGCACACGGACCTGAGTTTGATCCCTGGTACCCAAAAAACAAAACAAAAAACAACACAGATGTATTTCAAACTAGTTTATAAAACAGTTTTTTTGTTTTACTTTCCTAAATTTTTGATGAGAAAAATGAAAGCATTTGTGTGTGGCTCAAAGAAATTGATTATAAAAGTTGCATTTATGGGTGGTGGATTTAGCTCAGTGGTTTTGCCTCTTGCCTCACAAGCACAAGGTCCCGAGTTCGATCCCCAGTACCGAACAAACAAACAAAAACAAAAGTTGCATTTATAAGATCTTTCTCTGGGTTACTTATATAGTAAGGTGAATTGCCAGCTGCTGTTCAGTGTAAAACTATGAACACTTCCAAGTTCTCATACCTTTAGGGTCACTAATTTGCTTCTTGTAAACTATATACAAAGTCCTTCAGAGAAGAGCTGATGAGCCTAGCTTGGAAATACTTGATGGATTAACAAGGGTCAGGGCCTGGTGGGAGGAGGGGATGGACAAAGTGTTTGCTTTTTCTGTGGACCTTGGTTTGACTTCCTGAGTCAAAGATCGAAATCTGAAACCCTTTACAATCTAACTGGTCATGAGTTGGTATTTTGTATAATTTTTTCCTAAGAATTCTGTTCAATAGAAATTAACTTATAGACAATTTGAAAACTTGTCCAAGGTCAGAAACTGGCCTTATGATGGCCAAAGGTAAAAATCTTTAACTCTTGACTACTACTTGGAGTTGTGTTATGCTACTTACTCATAGAAGAGAAACATGGATTTTCCTTTGCATGGATTAGTGAACTAGAAAAGCTTTTGCAATTGTGAGGCTTACATGGATTTTTTCTTCCCTCAGCTGAAGAGACTTGCTTTGACAAGTATACGGGGAACACTTACCGAGTGGGTGACACCTATGAGCGCCCTAAAGATTCCATGATCTGGGACTGTACCTGCATCGGGGCTGGGCGTGGGAGAATAAGTTGCACCATTGCAAGTAAGGAAGACATTGTGTAAAATGATGATAAAAATATCATAAATAAGCATTTACCATCATTATCATTTTCTGTTATCCATGACTGGACATTCCTCACTTTAGGCTACCCCTGGTGATTAGTTACTCTTATGTGATCATTCATCTGGGTCTTGTGGTTCTGGAATATGGATGGATCTGAACACATGAATATGTGTACATAGTATAATCAAGGAGATGTCTTGTTTTCCATTTCATTAAAATGTGCTTAGAAGAGTTACCTATTTTAAATTACTCAGGCATCTTCAGCTCAGACAATATGATTTTAAATGATGTTCATGAACAGTGAATCAGCTGTGTACCCTTTCCTCTTCTTGTTTGCAACCTAGAGAACTCTTGCATCTCAGAAACAGCCTCATTTCTTTGTGACCAATAGGTCATACCCAGGAAGCTGATCTCCCCCACCCCCGGAGATAATATATCCAAATTTTGTTCAAGGAACTCCAGGAACTGGGCTGTATCTCATCAACTCTAGCATAATTAAGGAAATCTTTCCAGTATGATTCACTGGGTTACCAATGTTTTTTTATTAATACAGCATTTTTAGCCATCTCTTAATAAGTCATGTTAAAGGCTTTTCTTCAAAAGAACTAGTCAGTCCTTTGTGAATAGACCCAATCAACTTTTCCCACACTTAATGTTAGGGCTTTTTCCAAGTTTATAAGCAAATCTCATAGCGTTTATAGTGTAGTGTACAATTCTGCCTTTGGATGTGCCACTGAGTTTAATAGCCCAGAAAAGCATCAGAATTTCCATATTCAATGTGTGTATGTGCTTGCTTTCCACCAAAATGACCTTTGTTTTCTTAGGATAAAATATGCGGTCTCCGTACTCCTGAAAATTGGAATGTTACACCCAATATAGTCTATTCATTGAAGTGTTCTGAGGTGCAACCTTCTGTAACATGAGCCTAGGCTGTGCCTCCCACCCTTTCTTTTCTATTTTAGGACACAATTTCCTGTGATCTCTAAGGAGAACCAGAATTTATGACCCTTTTCTTTGTCATTCACATTTCTCTGTGGGTTCCCATTGTTTTTTAAGCAAGACATTTAATTGAATTTGACCCAAAGCAATCAGCTCTGTTAACTTTTCCCCTTTCTTAGATTAGAAAGCTGTTCTCTATTTCACTTTGTCCAATACAAGTCTTTATCCTAGGTGGAATGTGAGACTTTTTTCTTTAAATTCTATCACTCTCTCCTAATATTTGTCTTTTGTCTTAAACAGACCGTTGCCATGAAGGGGATCAGTCCTACAAGATCGGAGACACCTGGAGGAGACCACATGAGACTGGTGGATACATGTTAGAGTGTGTGTGTCTCGGCAATGGGAAAGGAGAATGGACCTGCAAGCCAATAGGTGTGTGACCTAGGGAAGGGTGAGGGGACAGGGTTGCATAATTGCAATGTTGGGTTGACCCCAAATTACAGCTATATGGACAAAAAAATCTGAGTTCCAATTTAAATAAACAAACAGTGAAATAGAAATTTTATTTCAAATAATGAAATGTTACATGATCTAAAGTCTTCTTTTTAAAAATCAGATCACAAAGTACTCACTACAAATAGAAGTCTTAATTTTGTTTCAAAAGCACAAGCCAGAGTTGATAGATTTAAGAAGTCAGTTCTTTAGTCCACATCTGACCCCAGATTCCTCCTTGGTCCAAGACATAAATTATTGAAAAGATAAAACCGATACTTTGACACATTTTTTGTTGTTGTTGTTGGAATGCACTGGACTGAAACACAAAATGGCATGTGCTTTGTCCCACCTTGATAATTTCTTTATGAAATAAAAATTCTGGAGCTTCTTTGAGTCTCAATCCTCCATGGAGCACTACAAGTTACAAGTCTAAAAGTGTTTTATTTTGTTTATTGTTCTGTAATTCAGAGGTTTTTATTTTGTGTTTATTTTTACAGAGTTCCAAATTTTACATAGCTTTCTTAGCATTCTATTTAGGCCATTTATAATTCCTAATTGGTCATTCATAATTAAGATTGGAATTTTGTGTGTGTAGTCTGCCACAGACCAGATGAATACATAGATTCTTTTCACTCAAAATGCTGGTGGGAAGCTTGGAATTGGCTGGAAATATGCAGTCCATGTACTCATTAGGACAGAATTTCTGCCTGCCAGCTGAGTTTGGGCCTCCTTTTGCTTTGGCTACTTAGTATGTGCTTAGTTACAGGGTGTGCCTTTCTTTCTGGACAGAGTGCTACTTAAAAAAATGTGGCTGGATTTTTGCTTACAAGCTATGCTTTAAATTATAGGGAGACTGCCCAATTCAAAATAACCCTTTTTGTTTTTTCTTCTAAATTTTTTTACAGCTGAGAAATGTTTTGATCATGCTGCTGGGACTTCCTATGTTGTCGGCCAGACCTGGGAAAAGCCCTACCAAGGCTGGATGATGGTGGATTGTACCTGTCTGGGAGAAGGCAGTGGACGTATCACTTGTACCTCTAGAAGTATGTTTCAGATCTGTATATGGAAGACTAGACCAGATACAGCTTTCTGGATTTCTAGGAAGAATTGCAATACTATGTCACTTAGAAAGCACTCAGTATACCAGTATGTTCTGGTAACTTCTGCATGTCAAGAAAAATTCCTTAACTCTGCTTCTTCAGAGAAAACTAAATAAATAGGAAAAACTGTTATTTCAGTAGGGTAAGGCTATCAGCTACTAAAAAGAATCTTCATATTTATTCAAATGCCAAGTGTGGGTGTGATTTTAATGAAGTTTAGTGGTCAATGTGCAATCTAAATTATCATTAAAAGTCTTTAAAGTATTACGGGCAAAAAGTCATTAAAATAGCATGCAAATGTATCTCTTGGCATGAAGTTACTGTTGACATGGAAATGAATGAGCTCTAAAGGTTTGATGTTTTCCTATGTTTGAAATTTAAATAAGGCATATTCATAAGCAAAATTGATGAAAATAAAAAGCATCTATCCCATAGATTAAATTGTTGACTCTGGAATTAGGTATAGTGGCTTTTACCTAAAGCTACCATAGCTAATTTGGTGAAGAAGCTGGCCTGAGGCATCCTTATTCTTCTTCGAAGACTGTCTTAAAATTTTAATTATTGCCTTTGGTTTTAAGCCTCCTTTTGTGGCATTTCAAGCTAACCACAACTCTAGAGCTTGTTAAAAAGCAAACGCCCATTGCTATCATTATAAATGAATTTAAAAATCAAATGTAAATATCCTGAAGCTATTTTACTTATCTAGCTTAAAATAGTTAACTATTTTTAAATACTTATCTAGATTCAAAATCTTTGCTAACAACAAAAATGAAACCCCATGAGAAACAGTAAGGGCTCTGACCAAGTATTCCCCAAAAACTTACTAATTCATTAGATCTTTTGTATTGAAAGTGTTATGATCATCAGACATCAAGAACTTTGTGGCAGTATTTCGTTAAAACAAATCAGAAATCTAATTCAAACTCTTTATTTAAAACATTTTTTATGAGCAACTGAGAAAAGTTTCTCAAAGAAAGATAATTTATTCCATGAAATTTTATAAGCACGGATTTTGTTTAGTGGATTTGGATGTTGGGCATTAACCCATCCTTAAAAGAATACTGCATAGATCAGAGAGATGGGGAGGGTTTATACATATTTATCATTTACCAAACTCAGGAGTTGGAGTTTTAGGAGAGATTTTGAAAATAATGCTGTGGAGATTCAGGGGATGATATAGTTTTAGCTGAAGACTTGGATGAGAAAATCTCCTATTAGCAGTAATACCTTGATTCAATCTTCGTTCTTATAGCAGATTGATGTAATTGTATGTTCCTACATCATCTGCCAAATTATTTTTTCTGCAACCCAGTAATTGCAGTAATTCACAAACAAATCATATTCTCTACATTCACACTGTAGTATATGAATGATGCTGCATTATAATTTAAATAGTCTCATAGCCAGACAAATGAACACATAGACTAATGATGTAGTTACCAATGATCATTTTTCCAGGACTAATCTCACTTTTCCATTAGAGGGGTAACCCTGAGCAATTAAAAAAAAAGAACATTTTTTTGATGATTTTTAAATAGGTGTTTTGGGTGAAGAAATGGTTAGTAACCTGAATTTTCTTTTACCTAACAAATGAAGAAAAAGGTACTACTGTCTTTTTCCAGTTTTGTTAGGGCGATTGAAACCTACTCGCTTCATTATTGTTTCTAGTGCTCTAAACAAAATTCCCTTTTGAAAGGAGAGCCATATAAGGCAGTTACTAAAAGGAAAGCTGGAAGATCTGAGGAGAAAAATAAAAGAATAATACATGCCAGAGAATGAATTTGATTAGATGAGTAGTATAAAAAGTATAAAGCAAAATAAAGGATAGATGATAAACAAGTTTTATCAGAGAGATGGAACTAGGCTAAACCACACAGGCTAAAACTAGGATAAACCCTTTACTCTGTAAAAAATGTAATCCCATCTTTCAGAAGTTTAGTATCCATGAGACCAGAACTGAATATGAATATATTGTCAAAAAGTGGGTTCCCAAGCATGAAACTGCTATGTTCCTTTGTTAGGTTCGGAATGACTACTTGGCCATCTTGACCTTATTTATGAATTTACATCCTTCCTTTCTAAAATAGACAGGTGCAATGATCAGGACACCAGGACATCCTACAGAATTGGAGATACGTGGAGCAAGAAGGATAACCGAGGAAACCTGCTCCAGTGCATCTGCACAGGCAATGGCCGGGGAGAGTGGAAGTGTGAGCGGCACTCATCCCTGCAGACCACATCCACTGGTGAGGCACAGGGCTGGCAGGGCCCGGAGGGGGAAGTGGCTTGAGAAGTGCTTCCGCAAGTCACCTTTCCCTTCACAACCCCGCTGAGAATTTTCAGAGTTTCACTAATAGGCTAAGATTATTTATAGATTAGTGGTAGTTAAAACTTTTCAATGCCCAGCTTTAAATCTTAGATAAAAATTAAAATGAAATGAAAATGGATCTTGGGAAGAGGGAAACAAATTTTTATAAAATGATAGGAGATGGGGGTGTAGCTCAGTGGTACAGTGTAAGCTTAGCATGCTTGAGGCCCTGATTCAACTCTCATCATCAAAACAACTAATAATAAAAATTTAAGAGTGAAAAAAGAAGTTTTAATTATTTCTGGTATGAAAAAAAGGATTTTGCATCATGGATATTAGTGTAAGTCTGAAGAAAGAACTGTGGCCATCACAGGTTTGCCCTTCTATTGTTCTTATTCTTAGTATGTTTTCATCAATTTTTGCTACACCATGTGCTAGTGTTGTTACTAACCCTTTTAGACATTTATTTAAGTAGAAATATTAATTTTTTCTCTTTTTGATGAGTTTTCATCTTGACCTTAGGAAAGTGAGCAAGATTAGACTTGAAGGTATCTTTGAGTTATTTAATAGCAATAAAATTGTTATTGACCAAAAAACCCCCAAAAAACAAAACAAAAATATCAAACTACTAAATAGATTAAAGGGGTCCCTGGGAATTAAATCAGCATAAACACTCAATAAATGTCAGCTATTGTATTAATATTACTCAGCAAAAAGGTTCCATTGTTCAAAAGAGTTTGAGGGCTGGGGAGTTTGAAAGACACAGGGTTAAAAAATACAGAATTTTCTCTATGGGTCTTCTATGTTCTTTTGCATAGTGATTCTCAACGTGGAGTGTACAGAGACAGAGATTTCTCCCCAATATGTGTGGCCCTGGGATCTTTCCTCTGGGAAGTACCTTTGGGTTTTAATGTCTAGCAGCATTTAGCTGCTGAACTTGGTCTACCAGCCCATCTAGCCTCAGTTTCTACTCTGAGGTGGGCCCTGGGCTTTCAGAGTTGTCAACTGTTTCTCCAACTTTGTGACATTCATTTCTCATGCCCTTAGGATCTGGTAGCCCCTTCACGGATATCCGAACAGCTGTTTACCAGCCCCAGCCTCACCCTCAACCTGTTCCATATGGCCACTGTGTTACAGACAGTGGCATGGTCTACTCTGTGGGGATGCAGTGGCTGAAGACACAAGGAAATAAACAAATGCTTTGCACCTGCCTGGGCAATGGCGTCAGCTGCCAGGAGACAGGTACATGTTCTTGTCTCAAAAAATAGTGCTGTAAACTTTATTTTTTAGTTTTTTTATGGCATTGCATTGATCTGCAACAAATGTAATGCAATAAAACAAGAAAAAGTTATAATCATGCCACACTGCAATGACAATCAAGAGTGTATTTGATACATTTTTTCTAATCTTTTTAATCTGTATATTTTCCTTCCAATCACGGAGATCAAACTATGTATTATCTTTATTTGCATGAAATGCTGCTACAAAGAGGATTGCTTTCTGAAGAGCTAATCATCGATACTTTATACTCTGAATCAGAAATTTTAGCAGCTTTGTAATACAACCATCTTTCAGTGGCCTAATGTATCTCTTCTAGATAACAAACATGATAATTACAGCAATAATGAATTAGTACATTTTAAAAAAGAGATTCTCCTAGAATAGCATCATACATTGTTTCTTCTGGCGCTGGTATAGTCGTACATATTCCTAGCATCTTTGAACAGCATCCTTAATTCATCTGTGTTAATTGGCTTTACAAATAGAGAAACTGAGGCATGATAGCAGAAGTGGAAACAAAGAACATCAGCAGAACTCCAGTCCATGCTCTATCCCACAGCAGGCATTGTTTCCTGAGTAATGTATTTTGACTGAAATTATCCAGATGTTCATCGCTGTGCCTAGCTTTTGCTTTTGAAGGCACAAACTCAGTCTGTCATAAGGTACACATAAGCAGCCCCTGGTGGGAAATAAAGCAGCTGTATTGACTGAGACTCTTTTGGTTGTGGTTATAGCTGTGACTCAAACATACGGTGGCAATTCAAATGGGGAACCATGTGTGCTACCATTCACCTACAATGGTAGGACTTTCTACTCCTGCACCTCGGAAGGGCGACAGGATGGACATCTCTGGTGCAGCACAACTTCGAACTATGAGCAAGACCAGAAATATTCTTTCTGTACAGACCATACTGGTAAGTGTCCTGGGGAAAAGCAGAACAGTGAAGAAAACCCAATTTACTTGCCAGAATTCTGGTATTAATTTGAGGCTGCATAAGAAACATCACTTTTGATCTGTCTGGACCCAAGAGACTCAAAGCCAACTTAGCAGCTGAGGATGTTTCCAAGTTCCCCATGATCCCTGGGAAATGACAACAAGAGATGAACTCTCCCATTCATTTACTTTGATATATAGCGATTAAAGATACTTGTATACTGAAATCAGTAACTGAACAATACATAAGGTGGATATCGCGACGTCTTTACTTACCTTCTGGATGAAACTTTTATTCAAAGCTATCATTTTAAACTTTTATTCAAAGCTATCATTTAGTCTTTTGTATGTTTGGTTTTGTTAGGAAATGAGTGCAAATAATGCTTCGATCTATTAAAGGGTGTAGGTGAATACACTAAGAAACTTTTATAACTATGTTATCAGGCATCTTTTACCCTAAGTAGACTAAGAATTTGCTGTAGAAATCTGACTCTGGGAATCTTTCTGTAGTTTTTTTTCTGGTATGTGAGAAAGCTCAACTATAATCTTTTTCTTCTTCTTTATGCAATGTCCCGGGCAGTTTTGGTCCAGACTCGAGGTGGAAATTCCAATGGTGCCCTGTGCCATTTCCCCTTCCTGTATAACAACCACAATTACACTGACTGTACCTCTGAGGGCAGGAGAGACAACATGAAATGGTGCGGGACCACGCAGAACTATGACGCTGACCAGAAGTTTGGATTCTGCCCCATGGCTGGTAAGATGGGACCCTCTGGATTGTCGGGGTGGACACCACATAAGGAGCAGAGCCAAAGACTGGTGTCCTCTCTACTCTTATTTATTTGGAAAGCAAAAGTTTATATGAGTATGTCTCTGTGTGTGTGTGTGTGTGTGTGTATACATAAATATTATATATATATAAGAATTGAGAATATATGTAATTATAATTATGTACTTTATCCCTTTGGGATGATTTAATTCTCCAAATGTAAAAATAAAATTTTTAAATAATTTTAATACCAAAAAACACAAATTAAAATTACAAATTTGTCAATATTTATCTTTTGTGAGTGTACAACTGAGTGCACATCCACCGGCTACACTCACAGGCCCATGATGTTGACGCATGACTTTGCTTTGGCCGGCACAAGCTCCCTGGCACTAATTAAATACCTAAGTGACCAAATCAGGTCAGGAAACTTGTTTTTGAGAAGTAGGAATTTTTTTAAAAAATCTCCAGAATAAATATTATATATATAAGAATTGAGAATATATGTAATTATAATTATGTACTTTATCCCTTTGGGATGATTTAATTCTCCAAATGTAAAAATAAAATTTTTAAATAATTTTAATACCAAAAAACACAAATTAAAATTACAAATTTGTCAATATTTATCTTTTGTGAGTGTACAACTGAGTGCACATCCACCGGCTACACTCACAGGCCCATGATGTTGACGCATGACTTTGCTTTGGCCGGCACAAGCTCCCTGGCACTAATTAAATACCTAAGTGACCAAATCAGGTCAGGAAACTTGTTTTTGAGAAGTAGGAATTTTTTTAAAAAATCTCCAGTTTGTATGAATGGCGAAAAGCAAAACCAGTACATTTTATGTATTTTCAAATTTTAAGAACTTCACAGAGTACATTTGATTATGCAGTTGTAGAGCCAGGAACCTGTGCACTATGCAGTGCCGAGTGTGAATAAGAGGCAAAGAAAACTACTTATCCCTTTATTTCTCTCATTTCAACAAAACATAATAATGGGTTTAAAAGGAAACTTGCTTTTGCTTGCAATTCTATACCCAAACACATAATTTTCTTTCAAACTAGAAAAAAATCTGAAATGAAGAAAAGTTAGAAGGCAGTAGTCAAATCCAGGCTTAGAGAACAATATGCACCCTTTGAGTGAATGTGTAGGTTTTGTCTTACTGTAAGGTTCCCTAGCTCTTCCTGTAATTATTTCTTTTTTCTTTCTTTTTCTTTTTTTGGTTACCAGGGATCGAACTTTGGACCTTGTGCTTGCAAGGCAGGCAGCAGAACCACTGAGCTAAATCCCTGGCTGTAATTATTTCTTATTACATACTTTACGCTTGGACTGTGTTTTCTCTCTGTGAATCTTGAACTCTGTACCTTTGCCGTGCAAACTTTAGATGCCTTGGAGGCTCACAAGGCTTCTTTCAAAGTGAGAGTCTATGTATGCCTAGCTAGCTAGTGTGTGTGTGTGTGTGTGTGTGTGTGTGTGTGTGTGTGTGTGCGTGTACTATTGGAGATCGAACCCAGGGCCTTTACAATGAGCTACATCCCCAAACCTTTTTATTTTTAATTTTGAGACAGTCTCACTAAGTCATCCAGCCTGGGCTTGAAACCGCGATCTTCCTGTGTCTGAATACTGGGATTGAAGGCACGAGCCACTATGCCTCTCTGTCAATTAAGACTTGAAAAGATCCTTTCTCTGGCCACTTTGGGAAGAATAGTTTCCAGGGGGGCAGGAGTGGACACAGAGAAGAGCAGGTGACATCAGAGGTTCAGGTTTGATATGGTAACAATTTGAGGCAGGGAAGCAGCCCTGGTGTGGAGAGAGAAGGACTCTGGGTAAACTCAAAAGGTGGAGCCACCTGGAACAGCCAACAGGATAGAGTTGAGATGTTCTGAAAAGAAAGATCCAGGATGACTCCATCCATGGTTTTGTTTTATGTTTTTTAGCATGGACAAAAGGATGAAAAGATGAAAAGTGAGCTAGGGGATAAGATCAGTTTCAGACATGTTAATTTTGAGGTTCATTTGAGAACCTCAAATAAGTTAGAATCCGGAGCTCCAGGGACATCCAGGTAGAGAAGACAAATGTGCGACGCCTTGTCTAAAAGTGACAGTGGGAGCACAGACGTGATACAGGTGAGAAAGGTGTCATGGGAATCCTAAGAAAAGACTGATACCTCAGGAAGAGGTATCAGTCATGCAGAGGGATTCCGGTGAGAGTTTTTGGAATGACCAGACTGGGTTGATGATAGTGTATGCACTCCTGTCAGATCTGTGATCACCTACCAAGTGCATTTCATGTCCATTTCCAAATAGCCCATGAAGAAATCTGCACAACCAACGAAGGGGTCATGTATCGCATCGGTGATCAGTGGGATAAGCAGCATGATATGGGTCACTTGATGAGGTGCACATGTGTTGGGAATGGTCGTGGGGAATGGACGTGTGTCGCCTACTCCCAGCTCCGAGGTATACTGCCTTTTTTTAAAAAAAAACATATTTGAGAAATCAAATAGGGCAGAGAAATAGGTTTTCATGTAAAAACTTACTCTGTGCCAAAAGCAAAGGAAGAAATTCACAGTGACAGCCCATTAGGCTATGTGCTGGAGAAGGTTATCACTGAAGGCAGCTAGTTAAGAAAAGCTGACATAGGAATTTTAAGGCCCTGAAACAGGATGTGAGGACTTAGGCTAAGCCAAAAGAGTGACTTCAAAGACAAGAGCACAAACATTTGATCTTTTGAGCTTTAGGTGATGCTACTGGATTCATGTCTAGAAAAGATTAAATCATTTCTATAAAAAAAAAAGATGAAATCGGATCTTTGCAGATCCAAGTTTAAGAAGACAAATATGTAGAGAGACTGATTTCTTTTCTTCAGATAGTTTTATCCCTTTGGACCTAGACGTGCAATATGAGGTACTGTTGGTTTGCTCAAGTGATTTAAGTTTTCCATTCTTTGATTTCAAAAGTAGAACTCTGAGCTAACCCTAAATAGTACAAATAGCTAGTGTGTAGATATTGGCCTGAGTCTGTCCCTTTTGTGGTGTCCAGAGGGTAGCACAGTGCAGGAGTAATATAATCATATCTGATGGCGCAGAGCTGAAAGGAAGCTTAAGAAGGTGTGCAGACCCATTGCTTATTTAACAGATGGAGATTTTAAGACCCAGAGAGGGAAAGTAACTTGCTCAGGATCTCTCAGAAGAGTGAGACACAGAGTTGACCTGCTATTTTTTTTTAGCTTTACAAACATAGATGCCATTTTATTTTTCAAATCCAAATATCTCCTCCCACTTCCCATTTCCAGAAACCAGACTGCAGCACCATTATGTGCTCCACATAAATATGTTTAATCATCCTACTATAACAAGCAGGGATTAAAAGGAAATTTGCAATTAAGCAAGAACTTTATAGAAGTTAAGATGTATTTGTTTAAAACTTGGCATTTCACAGGAAGGTGGATTTTACCACATTCCTTAGGTGTATATGCTGCAACCTCTTTACAGGTCTACAGTGAGAGAACTGAAGTGAGGGGAACATTGTATTACTAAGTGTTGAATATAAAAAAAGAGAGCTTACTTTATGCCAACAGAAAAGTTCCTTTAATGGAAGGTATCGATAATCAAGTGGAAGAACTGTATAATTTGCAAAATGTAATTTCATCAGTGAGGTTTTAAAAGTTCCTCATGCATCTGCCTCCCGAACAGATCAGTGCATTGTCGATGACATTACTTACAATGTGAATGACACATTCCACAAGCGTCACGAGGAGGGACACATGCTAAACTGTACCTGCTTTGGTCAGGGCAGGGGCAGGTGGAAGTGTGACCCCATCGGTAAGTAGTGTCTTCTCCTTGGATAGTTCTGGCCCTCGAGACTGGTTAAACAGTTTCAGAATAGGAGAACTATTTGCTATGACTGACTGTGCTCAGCTGTTCCTAGCAAGCTCTGAAGTCTTATCACTCATCGTGAACATATATATATATATATATCCTCAATAGTGGTAATCATCTGCTTTTTGTTCAATTTGGCAACAAATATAAATTTAATTGAGTGGAGTTGGTTCTTTGGTTCTGAATCATAAAGGCAGTGCATATTTGGAAAGGAAAATTTCCTTTACTTACTCTGGGACAACATGGCAAAGGATCATGCCTTCAAAATACTCTGTGCTTTTGGCTGCCGTTTATACTAGAACTGAGCAAAGAGTGGAGGTTGAGTCCTAAAGGAGCTGTGTTACCAGCACTCCAAATTTTAAAGAATCCATTAATACCCCTTTACTGAAAGAGGCAGCTTACTCACTGAGAAGACAAACTGATACCATGAGTTTGTTTGATCTGAGATTGCCACAGCTGATAGGGATCCTAAGAGATTTTCTTAGAAACTGCTCAGCAGGCATTCACAGTTAAAATTTAGTTCATTCAGTTACCTTTAAAATGTGTTCTTCCAAATTTTAAAGAAATGTGTATAAAGTGAAATGGCTACAATTTTATTTTCCTTTCTGTTCACATAAGTCAGTTGTGTTGAAATTGGTAAATAACAATGTTTAATTTTTTCCAAATTAATATTTAGATTATAATACTGAATTCTTAATCTTTATATTTTTATTTAGAAATATGACCCTTTTCAGAAAATTAGATATTCTTCCCAATAGATGCTTTTTTTCAATTACTAAGTATTTTGTAAGGTAAAGTATGTGATCAACTTATTTAACTTCATGTATCTGTAAGGATAGTTGAAACTTTCTATTTTAATTTTCATCATTTGTAGTAAGATCAAAATATCTGGTGAATGTTTAAATTTTTAAAAAAATTATCAGAATAAAAGACATTGTTACTGACCTCTCAAAATATTCCCCCTCACTTTGAGTACCCTTATCTCATCATCCTGCTCACTTTCTGGAAGAGCTCTGGAAGTTTTCTTTCTTGACTGTCTTTAGTTGCACTATTGTGGCTGCTCAGTATACTGAATTGATTCAAATTATTTATGGCAATCTCTGTCAAACTAAAACAGTACAGTGTGTCCTCAGCCACCTTATTCACTGGATCTGGCACTGCGTGACTTCTGGCTCTTCCCTGAAGTGAAGATGACCTGGAAAAGTGAATGTTTTTTAATTGATTCAGGGCATCAGAGCAGCCAACACAGCACAACTAAAGACTCTCATGAAAGAGAACTTTCAGAACTGCTTCAGAAAGTGGCACACATGATGGGATAAGCATATTTGAAGTGAGGCAGAATATTTGGAGGGGAAGTAGTAGGGCAGTGTATCTTTTATTGTAATAATTTTTTTTAAAAAATCTAAACATTCCCTTTATTTTTCAATCAAAACTTGTATTCTAGCAAATTGTTTGTAGCTTTAAGTCTTTGAAGCTGTTTATCTTTTTTCTTTTGCAAATATTCTAGACCAATGCCAGGATTCAGAAACCCGAACATTTTATCAAATTGGAGACTCCTGGGAGAAGTATGTGCACGATGTCAGGTATCAGTGCTATTGCTATGGCCGCGGCATTGGGGAATGGCACTGCCAGCCTTTGCAGGCCTATGCAGGTAAGCAGCTCTAAGACTGCAAATTGAGAAGTGTTGGTCGTTATGACAACAGGGCAGCCCCAGTGCTTGTTAATACTTTGAGGCCCACCTTGAGGGCTCCCTCTGTTTCTGATCCTTTTATCATATATCACTGCTCAGTAATCAAATTTTTTACTAAAAAGATTTTCCTTTCTCTTTCCCATCAAGCAAAACGTATAGAATAGAAAGATGTGAAAAGGTATATGTATGTAGTTTTGTTTCTTATGCTGTACAACATTTCATTAGGTTAAAGCACTCTGGTTAGTTTTGTCTCACATCTGTATGTGGAAATAGAAAACTTCAAGAGAATTTCACTGGGAGTAAAGGATTGGGATTTTACATTGTGATTCTTAGCAGAGGAGTTGCATAGAGAGAGAGCATGAAATTCATTCACCATGTCATCTCTGCTCTTCGGGTCAAATTTTTCACTTGTTTGATCAGTTGCAATATGGGACAAAGTATCCTGGGCTTAAAGTTGAGTAACTTGCTCAATTTCTCTGCCTGCACAGATTAATCACACTCAAATGTTTATCGGTGAGTCATAGAGACATTGTGTAAGTTGCAAGTGTTACTTGTTCATTTTTTGGAATAAAAATTTGAATTAAAATTCAAGGGGGATAAGAGATTCACTGTTACACTCACAGAGAACAAGCTATGGGAGCCACTTGGCCAAAGAAAGTGTTAACCAAGTCTGAAGTCCAAGCTTTATGTATGTTTCCGAAAGATACATGGCAGGCTCCTCTCTTCCATCTCCTCATCTGTAATATGGGGAAATTGTAGCTAATAACCTTGAAAATTCCTTCCAATGCTGACACACAATCTGTGATCATAAATACTGAGCCCCTGCATGCACCCTTTTTATGAACTCCCAAAATTTGCTCTTCCCAGTCCTTAGACACTATCAGAGCTGAGGAAGTTGACTTGCCTTCATGGTGGATTGAGGTTTGAAAATCTTTTTAAGTGCTTTTTAATTTAATGTAGTTTCAAATCTGGTTGTAGACATGCTATAAATTCTGATAGTACATAATTGGGTTGGTTGGTTTTTTTTAAAATGATGCAACTAAAGGACAGGAACTTCCAAAGAAATTCTCCTATATGGCATTTTTGGGGAAATTATCTTCTCTGTGATTTAGGGAGCCTTTTCCTCTATGTGTCTTCTAAAATAAGCCTTTCCATACAGCTACTTGTTAAAAGCATTGAGTTGGACTTGTTAGAAAAAAATCTGGATGGAAAGGAGCCCTCCCAGTTGGGAGTTTTACCTGTTCACTCTGTTATGCCCTCTAAAAAAATGGGTAACAACAAGGACCAGTTGAACATAGAAGAGATTTGGGGAAGTAGGGCTGGTTTATGACCTCAGACATGGTGTTTGGTGTTACCTATATGTCTGGATTACTCAATGGACCATGCTCAGCATACAGAGCTTTAAGAGTATGTGAAGAATAAAGTAACAAGAGATTACTGATTGTCTCTGAGCCTTACCCTATTTGCTCCTTGTACAGAGGCCTTGGTAGAGTTACTCAAACTCACAGGAGATAAAAGGCATTTGGTTTGTCAATAAGCCCCTAGAAAAGTACAGACCTCAGCAAATTCGGGGTGGGTGGTAGGACAGAGTCAAAAAATCATGAATGTTTAATTTCTCCAGAGTTACTTACTGGAAATTGCTCATTTTTTGACCTTTAAACTCATTTTCAAAATGTAGACATTGTATCATATCTTTTCTTAACTATTGTATTTTCTGTTTGATCACACTAAGAGACAGAATAAAGATTTCATGGTGGTAATTTTTGCTAAACATGCCACCTAGGCTAATTGAAAAGTTATATCAGCTAGCAAGTATCAAAAGGATTATCAAAACTTTAAATTGGGCATAGCAGTAAACACCTGTAATCAGCACTCAGGAGGCTGAGGCAAGATCTTGAGTTTAAGGTCAGACTAGGCTACATAGCAAGTTCAAGCCTAGCCTGTACTACATAACTAGACTGTCTCAAAAGAAAAAAAAATTAAATGATTTCAAAATTTTCAACTGGCCAGCCTTCAAATTATATGTAGCACAGTGTAGAGTGTAGTAAGTAATAGGAATTTAACTGACCTGAACGAAAAAAATCATGCTAAAAAGAAAAGAAAAGAAAAGAAAAAAATTGTGCTAAATCCCATTGCTGTTGAGTGCAGGTTTCTTAAAGGTAGGTGGGACATATGGCTAAATTTGAACAGATTTTCCCAGTGCTTGAAATCTTAAGAAGCTTTTCCTCCTCTTTGGCGGGGGTAGAACCATTTCAGTAGCCTTTTCCTTTTTCTCTCACTTCTTCTTTGTCTTCCTTTTCTTTGTATCCTTGTGGACGGGGAAGACGATTAGTCTTAGACATGAAATGTAAAGGTCTTTGTGTTGTTTTGAAACTTCATAGACATTTACCACTATGAACTTTTCTTCTTCAACATCATAATTTTGGTTTTTTGAGACAGGGTCTCACTATGTAGTTGAGACTGACCTGTAGCCCAGGCTGGTCTTGAACTCAGCGATCCTCCTGCCTCAGCCTCCCGAATGTGGGGATTACAGGCGTGTGCTGCCACTCCTGGCTTTCACATCATAATTATGCACTAAACTGAAATGTATATCAAGTTTCTCTAACCTGAAAAGGCTATAGTAGGATTTCTTTAATGCATCGAAATTTGAACAACCTTAAGTGGGTTATCATAAATAATTTAAGGACATTATATTTCTGTATTTACTGATTCATACTGAAGCACTTTAAATAGTCACATTTCTACACATGTGCTTAAGTATTTTAAAACTTGTGAGAATCTTGGTGAACTAAAAGGGTGAATCAAAGAGGGCCACTGAATGGAATTCTGACAACTGATTAAAATAATTATCCTGAATGTTCTGTGGAATATATGCCATGTTAAAATGGAAATTGAGAATTTTATATGCGATTTTGATATTCATTTGCCTTCAAAATATGTGCATTAAATGAAGTTAAGGTTCAAAGAATATTTGTTAGCCTTTAACAAACTTTGAATTATTCTGTGTTGAAGTGAGAATATTATTTTAGAATTCTGGAGTCCATAGTTCCACAAGGTACATATTTGTTCTGTTAGAGAAAACTTTGTCTCGGAGAGGACTTAGCAGCTGAGATAATAATTAAGTCTGAAAAATCAATACTGTATATTTTTTCTAAAAGCTTTCAGAAAACTTAAATCTGTTAATCCATTGAAGTGCTTTATTAAACATACAAAATTTTGTTTTGTTTGACTATTGGGAAATTCTTAGAAAGGTTATTATCACGAACTCTGATTATTTTTAGCAAATTGCACATTGGCATTATGAAGTGAGTTTTATGGTCTATAAACATAAATTCTTCAGTGCTGTTTCTTTATTTTTCTGAGTAGTCTATTGTGCTAAGAAATCAATTTCTTTTTCTTATTTTGCTTTTTAAAAAGAAAATAAATATTTATTTTAAATTTTGTTTTTAACAGCCATATATATCAAGATGTGGAAATACTGAATTTTGTATACTTTTAACATCATTTCAGTTGATAACTCCTTTTGAAAAAAACTTTGATCTATTAGTAACTTGACAAATGGTGTAATTTTAGAGTATACATTTTGAGTAAAAATATAGATAGATTTATTTTCCCAAACTAATAGAATGCTTCAACTGATGAGAAGTAAAGCTGTGTTTTTAATTATTACCTTTGTCTATTTATCTAAGATTCTACCCTGTTTAGAAATATGTTTGTTTTACCTCATGCTGTATGGCCTTTGGAATGTTGTTTTTTTCTTAGGTATTGGATTCACTTGTGGTGAAAACGTCCATGAATTAGAATTTGCTTTAAAAGAAGATTAATGTAGTCAGTAAATGAAGTTTGAATGCTGAATTACATTATTTGTACTAGAGTAGTTTTGCAGTTGTCTCACAATTCTTACTTTGAAAACAGAGAAGCAGGCTATAAGACATTTTTTAAATTTTTAATTGTTATAAACAAATTCTATTTGCATTGTCACGTGAAGGGCAGTAATTATCAGCTAATATGTAACTAAGCCCAGACAATTGTAATACTTCTATTTACTGATGAGCAAACTGTGTTTAAAGATACAGTAACTGCCCCTGTATATTAAATTTTTTTTTCCTTGGTTTTTTGAGACAGGATCTCACTATGTAGTTGAGACTGACCTGGAACTCACTATGTAGCCCAGGCTGGTCTCAAACTCATAGCGATCCTCCCGCCTCAGCCTCCCAAGTGCTGGGATTACAGGCATGCACCATTCCGACCGACACTATATATTAAATTTTAAGTTGAAATGAGGGAATACCCAAGGTGACCAAATCCTACATTTTCACTTTCAGGCACAAGTGGTCCTGTCCAAGTAATTATCACTGAGACCCCCAGCCAGCCCAACTCTCACCCTATTCAGTGGAATGCACCAGAGCCCTCACACATCACTCAGTATGTGCTCAGGTGGAGACCTGTGAGTATCCCCAGAACCATGGACATCAGGTCTCCTGATCTTACCTAATTCTGATCTGTTTTGTTTGTTTGTTTCTGCTTTTGTGTCAACTGATCTGATTAATTACCACGCAGTATTTATATTTTCTTTGGTGACTAATTAATATGTAGTCAATCAAATTGCATATAGATATGGATTTTTTCAGGGGTAGTTAGAAGAAATTAATATTTATGTTAGGAAGATCTTATTAGGGACATAGAAATGATAGCTTAAAATTATTTTCATCCACTATAGGAAGAGAATCAAATTTTTACATGTTTTAGAGCTCTGTTACTACTGGTATCATTTCCATAGATTAATTTTTCTCTTTTGATTCTCTTTTTTGAGGAACTGTTTTTCAAACCTTTACTTTTGGTCTTTTAAAGAAATTTAAATGGAAGGCAATGAGGTGATGAAAAACAGATAAACCACAATAGTTGGTTTATTTAAACAATGGGCCTGTGATTTTTTAAGTGTTTGGAAATTGAGGAAACCACACCAAGGCGGATATTGGTATATAAGCATTGGTTTCTCTTACCCTCAAAAACCCGTCCACTTATAATGACATGATTTGAGAAGCAGTATCTTACACTAGGGAAAAAGACGTCTATTTTAAATAAGACTACTGAATTCTAAGTAATTAAAGACAAAAACATTTGACAAACTCATACACTTCAGGAAAATTTTAAGCTGTTACAATATTTTTTTTGTCCTACATCATCTTTTGTAATCTCCCTGGTATACTGAGTAGTCAGTGTAGAACTTGGCATCTAGCAATATTTTTCTGTGGAATCAGTGACTTCTTCCCTTTCAACACCTTTTTAACTCCCATCTTTTCATCTCATAGCCAGTTGTGTTTATTTTAAACTCAACTCTGAAGTATTACATGTAACCCCTACAAGTGGGGCATTTACAAGTAGATATAAAATTGGAAAAATCATCAGAGTGGCAGTGATGAATTCCTTTGAAGTTTCCTTTTTTTGTACCCTGGGATCGAACTCCAGACCTTGCGCTTGCAAGGCAGGCGCCGAAACCACTGAGCTAAATCCCCAGCCACCTTTGAAGTTTTTAACAATTACAAATTTTCAGGTTTTTTTCTTAATGTGTGCCACATGAATTTAATATCTGGTATCTTCTTATGATAGCTCACATTGAATAAAAGTTATCAATAATTTAAAGCTAACTATAATGACTAATAACAATTTTTCATAGCATAGTTGGGTGAAAATTTAAATTTAAAGAATACCAGGCTCATTTTCATTTATTTACAAAATGTAAATAGACACAAGCATTTAAATTATTGAGAATCTAGTTGATTGGGTAATTAAAAAAATAACTGGGCATAAAAGTGTATTTTGATACTTAGTATTTAGAATATTTACTCTTGAAAGGATTTCCTTTTGTTTGAAGTTAGAGTGTTTCTTTTCCACACATTCTATTACAATGAGTTTTGTGACCCATGGCATATTAATGAAGTTGGACAGGATGTGAAAATGTAAACTGGACACAAAAGATTAAATACACCAAAATCACATTCTTCTATAGTCTTGCCCAAAGTTGGCTGACTATTCCTGATGGGGGAGTTTTTATCCAAGAATGAGACACAAAACCAGACCAGCTGAACTTCATTTGCAAGGACCCCAGGATCAGAGTCACAAAACGGTATTTGCCTTGGGCTGTTTCTACAAGGAATGAAACTTGAATTGTATCCTACCAAGTTAAAAAATAGAAATATGGCCTTTTCCCACTTTAGTGAGGAACATATTTCTGTTCCTTATAAAAAATGAAAAAAATGGGAGAGGAAACTTAGGGTCATCATTATTATATGGCTGATATTAAATCACCAGTTCAGCCAACGGCATGGTATTCAACACCCGTGACCCTGTAACCTCAGGCATGTCACTTAATTCCACCTGTAAAATGGGAGCAATAATACAGTTACCACTAAGTATGAGGTGGGAGATGAAGACTGGGGGAGGATGCAAGCAAAAATACCACAGAGCCTAAGTAGTGCATGGTAAATTATGAAATATTAACAACTATAAACAGTAGTAATTATTGTCAGCAAACTCGGCTCCTGGTCCCTATGCTGATTTCAGTGTTCCATGGTTTTCCTCCAAGAATGGCGCTGCAAAGTTTCTTCATTCTTCTTTGAAGATCACTGACCATCATCTCTAAATATTTATCCTCATAAACTCTTACATGACTTTTTTTAAAAATTTAAATTTGTAGAAAACTACTGCAGGCCGTTGGAAGGAAGCTACCATTCCAGGCCACTTAAATTCCTATACCATCAAAGGCCTGACCCCAGGAGTGGTATATGAGGGGCAGCTCATCAGCTACCAGCAGTATGGCCACAGAGAGGTGACACGCTTCGACTTCACCACCAGCGCGAGCACACCTGTGACCAGTACGTACCTGCACCCTCGGGTCTGCACCCAAGTTGTTCAGACTTGAGCTCCCCTTGGGAAGCTCTCGCCTTCTCGATTCGTTTTCTCCCACAAATGGCACCTGCATTTAAAAAAAATAACCATCCACAGGTGAGGATGGTGAACAGTCTGGATCACTGAAGACTTGCTTTCTCCTTTCTGTGATGCTCTAGGCAACACTGTGACAGGAGAGACAACACAACTTTCTCCTGTTGTGGCCACTTCGGAATCGGTGACTGAAATCACAGCCAGCAGCTTCGTGGTCTCTTGGGTCTCAGCTTCGGACACTGTATCAGGATTCCGGGTGGAGTATGAGCTGAGCGAGGAGGGAGATGAACCGCAGTACCTGGGTGAGCTGGATGCGTGGCTCAGGGTGGGTCTGAAGGGGCTGTTGATGGAGAAGAATCAGTAGGTTCTCTGTGGAGCTAATTGACAGCCCCAGTAGAACAAAGCCTCCTGCTGGAAAAGGAAAGGAGAGCTTGGCCCTTTGTAGAACTGGCAGGTTCTCCTGAGCGCCCTCACCTTGTCCTGCTCCAGATATGAGGTGCTCTATGCATTTACCTGAGCGTAGGCCCACATTACAAAAGCTCCTGTCTTTGTCCTTCATGCATACTTTTCAAATCCTATCCCCGCCCTCCATCTTTCTGTGTGTCTCTGCTATCTGCCTTCTAATCACAGAGAGGTATTCTTTTAAGTTTGGGGGTGGATTATAAAAGTTGTACATGTTTGGAGAAAACAATTTGAAACATAAAAGAAGAAATACCCCATAGCACATTGACAATTACTGCTTAATCCACTAGCACATTCCCTTCTAGTCTCTTTTCTCCCTCTCAGTGTGCTGCTCTTCTCAAATGCTGTGGAGGCATTGGTTGTAACCTTTAGTTTTTATTTCAAAGATCTTCCAAGCACAGCCACTTCTGTGAACATCCCTGACCTGCTTCCTGGCCGCAAGTACATTGTCAATGTCTACCAGATATCTGAGGAAGGAAAGCAGAGTTTGATCCTGTCCACTTCACAGACAACAGGTACATGGTGTGCTATGTGGTGTTAAAGGACTCTTTCAACTGTAGGCCTGTAACAACATCGTTTCCCTCACTTCCTCCTTCCTTTCTTTATTAGCTCCCGATGCCCCGCCTAACCCTACCGTGGACCAAGTTGATGACACCTCCATTGTGGTTCGTTGGAGCAGACCGCAGGCACCCATCACAGGTCAGTTTAGCCTTGATCTTGCTTCTGGGTTAATCATTCTGGTAGCTCGAGGAGGGTGTAGGGAGGAAGCAGATTCTGACCACAGACTGAGTGTATTACTTAAAACCTCCCACATAATTACTAGAGATTTGTGTGTCTGTGTGTTTTTTCAGGGACACTAACTTCCTTACACAAACACACACCCTGAGCACACACATATAACCAATAATGACAGCTCCTTGGCTTATTAAAGGAAGGCTCTTCCTAGGGTTGCAGAGATGAAATGTTTCTGAATATTTCTCATCATTGAAGTAGCTTAAAGATGCAGACAGTGCTAGTCAATTCTGTGTTCAGGCTGGTTTATTAATGCTCCCATCATCCAGGACTCAAGAGAAATCAGCTTAACATGAATATTTTCACCTAATGGGTTTCTAATTGACATTTACTAAGGATCTCAAGTTTTCAAGGATCATATTTATTAAAAAAGCTTGCATGGCTCTTCTTATTTTATCTGTATGCTGAATAGTCATTATAAGAAATGTTAACACAGAAAGAGGCCAAAAGAATCTTTCTAATGCTTAACTAATCAGACATAAAAAGCTTGCATGGCTCTTCTTATTTTATCTTTATGCTGAATAGTCATTATTATAAGAAATGTTAACACAGAAAGAGGCCAAAAGAATCTTTCTAATGCTTAACTAATCAGACAAGATGCTGAGGGCTATTAGAAAGTAGCAAATTTATGAATTTTCCAGCACAGCCTGTGTTTCATAAAACGATGTACCATGTTTTTCTCATGAATCTGCAGGATACAGAATAGTCTATTCTCCATCAGTAGAAGGCAGCAGCACAGAGCTCAACCTGCCTGAAACTGCCGACTCCGTCACTCTCAGTGACTTGCAGCCTGGCATTCAGTATAACATCACTATCTACGCTGTGGAAGAAAACCAAGAAAGCACTCCCGTTTTCATCCAACAAGAAACTACTGGGGTCCCCCGCTCAGGTGATCGAAAGACACTTCCCTGTTGTCTTATTCCTTAAGCCAGGTAACATCTTTAACCTCCTTCTGTGGGAGAACAAAACCTCAATACAAAAAAGACCGTCTTTCCTGACAGAAAGTGCTGTTTTGACTCTGTCAGCAGTTCCTGCATCTGAGTAATTGTATATCGTCCCTTTTTCCTAAACTTAATAGTATTCACACACTGAAATATTCATGCATATAAACTGTTGGCCTTTTGGTTAAAAATTCTGACAGCATCAGGTCTTCTTATTTTTCCTCGGAACCGGAAGGGACTTTACATCTATTACCATGATTATGTATTACTATAAAATGATTCAGTGAAACAAAACCTCCAGTTTTTCTGTAGTTACCTTAAAGTTTTTAAATATATATTTATTTTAAATTTCTACCCCAAACTGACACTTCTCATGCTGGAAACTCATATGCTAACCTCTGTATTTTTGATAAACCTTCAAATACAAGGTGAACAGTGCTTGAACCATGAAAATTTGTGCAAAAACCCCACATTATTTGGTTAAGAGACAAAACTTACTATTGCTTTTGAATCAGTGGCTCTAAGAAGTGCCTAACACATCCAGGAAACTTTTTTTTTTTTTTTTAATAATCTTCAATAGGAATTGTGAATGACCAGTTGTCCCTCTTCTATTAGATAAAGTTTCCCCTCCCAAGAACCTGCAGTTTGTGGAAGTGACGGATGTGAAGGTCACCATCATGTGGACGCCCCCTGACAGTGCGGTGACCGGCTACCGTGTAGAGGTGCTCCCCGTGAACCTGCCTGGGGAGCATGGCCAGAAGCTGCCTGTCAACAGGAACACCTTTGCAGAAGTGACCGGGCTATCCCCCGGGGTCACCTATTACTTCAAAGTCTTTGCTGTGAACCACGGGAGGGAGAGCAAGCCTCTGACTGCCCAACAGACGACCAGTATGTCCTACCCTTCCCTTATTTGCCCCAGTCCCCGTTTCTCCACACTCGTGTCTAAACTGTCATGAAGTACAACACGCTCTTGGCTCCCGTGCTTACAGTTTAGCAGTAAGAAAACAGCCGGCATGGGAGTGTGTATTGGACGCAAAGCGTAAACTTGGAAACAAAACTCAGACATGCTCTGTGGGTGCTGAATGGCAGTCCACTTAAAGCACATATGTAGCAGCATGTTTGTTCTAACACACATGTGCATTAATGGGAGAATTTAAGAGAACTTAATTTCCTTTGCTAATGGAGACACAGATGAGTGATTTCAGTGCATTTTAAAAATGTAACTGAGTATATCTAGATCAGAGTTAAAAATGTAAACTCTGAACACTTACAGTAGGATTTAAAAACGGCATTTGTTGGGTCAGGAGTGCAGCTCAGTGGTAGAGTGCTTCCCTAGCACATGCAGGGCCCTGGGTTTAATCTTCAGCACCACAAAAAAGTAGTTACTAAGTATCTAGTGTAAAAGAGCTTCATGTTGTCTATTCAGTTCTTTGCATACTCATACTCTTCATTTTAACCTTGTAAAGGAAATTCTAATTATTCTAATTATTCTAATTCTTTGAATGTATGAAGAACTGAAGCCTAAATTCTGCAGCTTGTAAGGTTTCAGAGCTGCAAAGTGATTGATCTGGCTCAAATCTGTCTTTCTGACTCCAGAGCCCATGCTGTCACTTTTTATTTCTGACTACATCTCAAAGGTTTCTTCTCTCTGAAAAGAGCTGTAAATGTCTGCGAGGAAACTGCTAGCCATCATAAACCATTATATAATCCTTTCTGATAGTACAAACACACCAGCATCCCAGCATGAATGAGATTCCTAAGTATATTTCTTATCTAATCTGAACCATGTGAAAATAACTCATTTCTCTAGCAAAGGACTATTCATTCAGTAAATGTGTGGAATATGGCTTTTGATCCACATGGAATTTTCTTCTTGCCTTCATGTTTTGGTCTTATCCCTCTAACCTTAACCTTTTTGACTCAAAGCAGAATAAATTGTGGGGCCAGAGATTTAGCTCTGGTTTTACCACCTGCCTTGCAAGCACTGTGACTGGAGTTCGATCCCTGGTACCAAAAAATAAGTAAATAAATAAATAAATAAATAAATAAATAAATAAATAAATAAATAAATTGTGGGACGTACAAGTATATGTTTTGCCTTTTCTTTTTGTGATGTGAAAATCTTGTTGGAAAATTAGATTTTTCCAAAGCGTAACAGTCAAGTGAAGAAGGCCAACGATTTCTCATGACTAACACATAATTTTGGCAAAGTTTTACACAGCATTCTCTTAAGGGCTAGTTTTTCCAGGGTTTTGGCTTTCAGTTCAACTTCAACCTAGAGAAGAGGAAACTTACAATAGTCAAGCTTTAGGATTTCAATATGATCACGATTGGCTATTGATCTAAATATTTCTTGACACATTCCTTATCTTCTAGAACTGGATGCTCCTTCTAACCTCCAGTTTACCAATGAAACTGACACGACCGTTCTGGTGATTTGGACACCACCTCGGGGTAAGATTACAGGCTACCGGCTGACTGTGGGCCTGACCCGAGGAGGACAGCCTAAGCAGTACAATGTGGGGCCTTCTGCCTACAAGTACCCTGTGCGGAACCTGCAGCCTGGATCAGAATACACCGTGTCCCTTGTGGCCGTGAAAGGCAACCAGCAGAGCCCCAAAGCCACTGGAGTCTTCACTACTCGTAAGCTGAAATTTAAATCTTTTGTCAGTGATATCATAGCTTTTTAACTATATTCACATTCTCTGTTCTTTCATTTTTTACAAGTTCTCTTTACAAACTTCGTGCAATGCTGGGTGTGGTGGCGCACGCCTGTAATCCCAGCACTTGGGAGGCTGAGGCAGGAGGATCACTGTGAGTTCAAGACCAGCCTGAGCTACCTAGTGAGTTCCAGGTCAGTCTCACTACATAGTGAGACCCTGTCTCAAAAAACCAAAAAAAAAATAAATAAATAAATAAAATAAATAAAAACTTGGTCCATAGTTTAAAGCTATTCTACTAAAAGTGTACTCCATTCATGGACTGGCTGCTGGCCCATAAATTGTCCCTTGTCTGCAATAGGCCAGGAGCCTGTGCCAGAATATAAATCACAAAGCATGGTGTTTAATTTGACCAATTACTTTTCTGAAGCAAGATTTTCTTGATCAGGGCTAAGGATGTGGTATAGTGCTTGCCTAGCATGAGTGAGGCCCTGAATTTGATTCCTAGCACTGAAAAAAAAAATCTTGATAAAGGAAGCAGCTTATTAATTTGTATACTTTGCCAAGTTCCTTATTTCTTCTTGGGACAGCATTTTAAGAAAAAAAAGGTTGAGCTCTATTGTATAAAATAAATTTGCCAAATTCTAGTTGAGACAAAAGAAATCTGCACCTATGTCTCCATCCTATTACTTTGGGCATCACATGATAGCCATTCATGCAAAATAAGGCTACAGGTAAGGGGAAAAAATGAGAATCAAGACTTGCCATGTAAAGGTACATGATCCCAACAATGAATGTAACTGTACTGTATCCCTAAAATGTACCAATAAACTCAATAAAATTAAAAAAAAAAAAAGACCTTTTACCAATTAGTTTAAACCACCATAGAACATAACCTTAGATATTCTAAGATCTTTCCAGTAGATCTGTATTTAAAATTTTAAGTTATTTTGAGTAGGTTTCTGTGCCTTGTAACCTAAGATGTAAATAAAATAAAAACTATGTTAGAAAGGTAAAAAAAAAATAATAATAAGGCTACAGGTTGAAATGAATAACGATCAATAGATTGCAAAGCTAAGGAAATGATGACTTTGGAAAGTGTTGACGGCAGAAGACTAAAATACTTTCACAGAACAGATCTTTTTTCCCTCTTTCTTTTTTTTTTCCTTTCTTTAAACTCTTGAAATTCCACAGAGAGGAAAAATACTAACACAATTTTTGATGATGTCAAATTTTTGGCTCAACATTTTAGGGGAAATGGTCTTAAATCTCCTACATATCTACATCACAATAAAGGCCTCTACTCACAAGCTGATTTCTATTAAGCACATTCCATTTACATTACAAAGAATTATGAAACTCTGTTTTTACTGAACATGATGCTATTTTCAACTTGACACTCTGAATTATGGAAGCACCTAACATAAGAACTTTTCAGCATATATTGCAGTAGTGTACTAGCTTGTAAGTTTCCAACAGACTTCAACAAATCTTCTTTGACTAATTTGAAAATATAGATGTTCAAAAGCATTCAAAAAGTTGACAAACTCAATTTTAAAATAACTATGAAATTTATTTCCCAAAGAAACTTTGTTTTAAGCTTTTTGCATAAGAATCCATAACCTACCAAAAGCTTACTTGCTTCTATATTTGGTTTTTGAGATTTGGCCATTTTTCTTAAGTAACTGTTATTAACTGTTTTCTTTAGTAACTGTTATTTAGGTAAATTAAAGCTTTTTCTTAAGTAACTATTAATCATAAGCAAGTGAAATCTGCTTTTAATTTGCAAGAAAGTTCATCTTACAATTCTTCTTCTATTTTATGTTACATGGTTCCAAGAAAGTCTAAAATTTATTGTCGCAAAAGTAATGTTTGTATTTCTTGTAAATATCTACTTCTTGTGGTTGCTCTTCACTTTTGAAATGGAGATTTCAGTGCATGTGACCTTTCAGTAGATATTCTTTTTTTACTGAAAGGTAAAGTTATATACTTGTCCTTTTCATTCTTTAACATAAGACTTATTTTATTTAGTTTTTGTTGACTAGAATGCCTATCAAAGAAAAATTATAATAATAATTAAATGAGAGGAGTCAGCAAATATAAGGCATTTCAAAAATTTGGGGGGACTTTGGTATACATATTAGATATGTCATCTTATATTTTATCGGATGTTTATGTATATGTACTTAAATAAAATTTTATATGTACTTATATGAAATATAATTATACTTGAATTAAAGTATGATAGTAAAAGTTTATTAAAATTTAGTTAATATATATATTTTTAAAAATTTTGTTGACGAGATGATTGAAGAACAATAATGAAAACAGCTCAGCCAAGTTGAGATGTAAATAAACCAATGTAAACAAGGAGCTATACTACTTCATGTGAGCCTCAAGTACTCCCCAAGGCTCTAAACATCAGCAGGGCTTGCACTTTTTTAAAATGACTTTAAGTTTCTGAGGGTTTTTTACTGTCTTACTATACTAAATTCTGGGAATAATGTTCCTGGAATTTACAACTTCTGCGAAATTCTTAAGAGCAAATGTGAGAAAAGTAGGGCTATTTCCAGGGAAGATTCAGCCTACTTCTTTATTGACAGGGCATACTTTATTTCTTTCCCATTCAGGCTGTTCTTCACCTAACAATACGTGCCAGAACCCATAACCTCATGCTCACATTCACATCTTTTGTTTGACATCAGTTTGTGGTTTTGTGGTCTGGTGGTTTTCCTGTGATGGCCTTTCCAGACAGAGAGTATCATCTCAAACCTAGCTGGCTGACTCGAGCAATAGAAAGTACCCCATCTTAAAGCCCACGATATTTGGGGAGAATGTGATTTGTGAAAAAGTTGTGGCTTTCACTGATGTTCAGTGAAGAAAAGATTGACTATTCCCTGAATTGTTTCTTGTGGGCCATTAAAAATGGTCACCCAGGGCTGGCCTGGGCATTTGACAAAGACAGCAGTAGCAGAGTGGTATATGATTTCAGAGACACTGAAAGCCACCATAGGTGACCTTCCCTACTTCCCCAAATGCTATCAAAATAACATTAAACAAGCTGGGCATAGTGGCTCACGCCTGTAATCCCAGCACTTGGGAGGCTAAGGCAGGAGGATCACTGTGAGTTCGAGACCAGCCTGGGCTACATAGTGAGTTCCAGGTCAGTCTCAACTACATAGTGAGACCCTGTCTCAAAAAACCAAACCAAACCAAACCAAACCAAACAAAAAACATTAAACAACTCACTAAGCCAGTATTACCTCAGCTCAGTCATTAAAGTGGTCTCTGCAAAGTGGCCTGACTTTTTCTCACGTAGAACTTAAAAATAAAAATAAGAAACAAGATATTAAAACCCAGAGTGAAAATAAAAGAATTGCAGTATTGGGTCCAAATTCCCTAATGGCCTAGAAGAAACAATTGACTGGAGCTGAATAGAGAGTGAGTCTAAAACCTGTAATTCTGAAAACTGTGTAATTCGAAAAGCTAACTCTTTGTTTCCCTAGCCAGTCATGATTTAGTGTAAATGTGTTAGTTAAGTGGGTCATCCCTCCTCCCCCAGTGGAAACAGTTGAATTTGAATGTACAGAGGAAAGAATTGTGAAGGCATAAACCAGGCCTGTGAAACCTTGAACTTAATTCACCCAGTACATATGTCTTGGCTTCTGAGGCCTCATCTTTCTAAATTCATAATAAGATTTGTAAGGTTGCTGGGAGTAACTTAACTCTGTGTATTCATGCTCTGCTCCTTTTTTAATTTTTTCTTTTAAGCAATATTTTCACTAAGAGAAATAAAAGTGGTATTAGGATATCAGGAGAGTCAAAAGAAACTTCTGTTATGATTACAAATTCTAATGGGTAGAACATTAAGTTTCAATAGTATTATTCTGAATGATCAAATATTTAAAGAATGGATCTTTTGAATTTAAGTACCAGGAGATTGAAAAGAAAGTTATGTTGTGATTCCAAATTCTAATAGAATATTAAATTTCTGTAGTATTATTCTGAATGAATGATCAAATATTTAAGGAACAGGTCTTTAGAATTTAAAGGGCACAGGTGGTTTCAAAATTTGTTTAAACTTCCACGTGGCATTTCCTACTATGACCAGAAATTATTGGTATACTCATGGAATAGTTCAACAAAGGTATTTTTAGATCACATTTATAGTTTCACAATTGTTCTTACATGAATGACTAAGAAACAAAATTATCATCACTTTGTGGTTGCCAGTTTTATGTTTCATAAAGGATCTTGTGCTGATGGTACCATCTGTCACCAAACTAAAGTCCCAGCAATGAAGAAAGGAGGCAAATTATAAAATTCAAGGAGTTGAAAGGGCCTTCCTTTGAGGTCATATATCCCTTTATTTTACTTTGGGGTTATCTGTCAGTTTGTCAGAAATGCAAACTCCCAGCCCCATACTGGACCTCTGGAATGAGCACCCATATTTTTACCAGGTCACAGACAATTTGTGTGGTGCCTTAAAGTTAAGAAATGCTAATTTCTCTAACTTCTCACTCAGTGCAGAAGCATACGTTACATTCTCTACTGATTAATTAAGGTTCTCAATAAAAATACTTGTTTGTGGCGATCTGGTGTGGTTCCAAGTTTTGAATATATCCATTGGCTCATTTCACAGTGCAACCTGGGAGCTCCATTCCACCTTACAACACAGAGGTGACTGAAACCACCATTGTGATCACATGGACCCCTGTTCCAAGGATTGGTTTTAAGGTAAATCGCAGATATTTCTGATTTCACGTGATGCAGATGTGAACTACCCCGGTTTTTGCATGTGGTAGAAATAGGATATTCAGGAGGCAGGAAGCTGGGTTTTGTTACCTGCTTCTTTCACACCTGTAGGATGACTATTATTGGATATAGGAATACTTCTACTTTCCTACCTCACTGAGTTGCTAGAAGGATGGACTGAAGTTGTGAGGATGCTTTGCCATGGAGAAAACATTAGTTTAGCGTGGAACTGTTGTTGGTTGATGTTATTTTGTTTTCTCTATTCCCCCCAGGGAATTACATTTTAAAAAATATAGGAAAGCTCCGTTTGATATGTTATTCTACAAGGGTGCCAAGGAGTTCACAAAAGCCAACTTAGGAAGACTGATTAAATTCAGAGTCACTTAAAAAAATCACATCTTTTTCCAATCTGTTTCATCTCAACTTACTCAAAGCCCTGAAGGCAAATCTCTTAATAGGAGTTAAGATTGAGATATTCCTTGTAGGTATCTAGATTCATGTTCTTTAAAGTAATGATATTAGGGAAGTGATGAATACCAGTGATTAGGTTTAAAAGAATTTCTTTCTTTAGTATTTAGAGTATAGAGAGAAGTACTTATTGTGACCGAAAACCAAGACAAAAATCTCCATGATTTTGAAAAAAAAATAGACTAAGGGCCACTTCCTTTTAAGTGTACACCTCATCAAAATGATGCTACTTTAAAAATATAAAAATCCTTTTTGAAGATTTCCAGTATACTTTTTAAATTTCTTTTAACCATATCAACCTGACTTTCAGAAGCCATATAATATATGAAGGATTTCTAAATAGAGTTGCATATTCTGCTAACACAATGTTACCTAGGGGTTTTTGAAATAGAATTTTAGAAAGATTTAAAACTATGGACACTTTCACATTGATTCTTACTTTGCAACATTTTAATCCTGCAATTGAAGCTATGAACATATCCTTGACAGTAGTGTTTTTTTCAATGCAAGGTGTTAATGGGCTGGTAGTTTTAAATGGCAACTGAACAGGGGAATTGAACATGAATAACTCATTATTAAAGAGAGAGCCTAGGAATTCCTTCTAACACAAAGAAAATAGAAATGAACTACTATGTGGCCTGAAGTCCCTGTGCACTTGGAACGCTTTGTATGTTCCAAGACATACAAGCAAAAGAGTATGTAAAGACATTTCCCTGGAATGTTCCATTACAAACCACCTAATGTTGTTTTGAAAATACTTTTCCCACTCTATCTCCCCATTTCAGGGAATTTCCAATGAATGTGTAAAATGGAGGTAAAGTAAGTCATTCCTTAGCAAAAGTCCATTATGCATTTCCAAGGAATTCGTATTACAGAAAATATAACTACAACCTTTTAGCAGTAGCTCAGCTCTGGAAATATTAGTCCTTGGTATTTATTTTGCCTTCCTCCTTCTAGCTGGGTGTACGACCAAGCCAGGGAGGCGAAGCCCCACGAGAAGTGACTTCAAACTCAGGAAGCATCGTTGTGTCTGGTTTGACTCCAGGCGTGGAATACATTTACACCATCCAAGTTCTGAGAGACGGGCAAGAAAGGGATGCACCGATTGTCAACAGAGTGGTGACACGTAAGCAGAGTTCCTGTGTCTTTCTGTTTTATTTTAGTTCAGTTTGTAAAACTGTTCTGCATTTTGAAAAATGTCTAATATCAATACTATTGTTTACTTATGAGGAGGGTGTGGGAGAAGTATCCCACTCCTACTTATTAGTGATTTCAAAATTCAAAGTAGCAAGTTTAACTCATGTCTTATATACCATGCCAGTGATGGCGAATCCTTTAGAATGTCCATTGGTAACAAGCAGCCTGCTGCAGCATACATGCCATAGATATACCACCATCGAAAGTGTTCTTTCCATTAAGAATATTTATGCACTGGAAAAATGGAAGAAATTTCAATAGCACTGCAAAACCATGAATCCTAACAAAAATGCTATCAGATGATTATTGTCTACCGTGCTTTCATAGTATGAGCTCTATATTTTACTCATTCAGGGAGGAAGGGAAGGAGAGAGGGAAGAGAAAGAGGATAAACAGTAGAGGGAGAGAAAGAGGGAGAGAAGAAAAAAGGGAAGGAAAAAGAATCATTCCACAGGCCAAGTTGTTTAACTTTAAATTTTAATTAAAAAATTTCTTTCTGCATAGCATTGTCTCCTCCCACAAACTTGCACCTGGAAGCAAACCCTGACACTGGCGTGCTTACAGTCTCCTGGGAGAGGAGCACCACCCCGGGTAAGTCTGGGGCAGATCGAGGGCATGTGGGCACAAGGCCTCCCAAAACAGACGTGTTAGAACTGTTCCTTTCAGAGAAGGGGAAGGGAGGGTTCCAGACATAGGGCTCAAGTAACAGCTGTCCATAAAAAATACAGAGACACATGAAAGTGTATCATAGAGTAACAGACGGGGTGTTTAACGCATGTTTCCTTAAGTCAAAGAAAAGAGAATAATTATGCACTAGGCTGTGGGGAAAAGGCAGGTCTTCATACAGCTGCAGGGAATCACAAGGCGGGGGGGAAAACATTTTGGAAGATGCCCTTCGTTTAGTGTATTAAGAATTGCTACATGTAAAGAGCAATATAGAAAGCCTGTACAAGTTCAAGACAGATAAAATTCTTTAAAAAAATGTTTGGATCTGTGTTGGCCATGGAGATTACCCAGGTGAGGCTGTCTGTGTTTAGTCATGAGTTGCATTCCAAAAATGTAAGGGTGATAAATGACAGAAGTGGGCTTCATTTTACAGAGTGAGAGGACTGATGGGACTCAGAAAAACTGACACATCACCAGTCACATACTTATTTATTTGTTTGTTTGTTTGTTTATATATTTATTTTGTCATGCTGGGGATGGAACCCAGGGCCTCACACAGGCCAGGTTGTTCCACTGGGCTGCACCTCAGTCCCTATTACTATGCACTGAAGAGCTTATAGAACTGGAATTTGAACCATTTTAGACTCCTTCTTGCACCCTCTATCACATATTGGGAATTTTATTTTGTATTTTTTCGGTGATACTCAATACTGAGGAATTTGGTTAATGAGTTTCTTCACTGTCTTTAAATATTTAAAAATTGCCTAAACTGCATTCAAACCTATTGATTGAAAAGTATATGTAAAGTCCTAAAATATATAAAAGATAAGTATGGCAATATTCAAAGAGCATGATGCACCTTGGTAAAGTCAGAACTTTCTGAATATGTGCTACCTTTACCAAAACCACATGAAAGTCTCTTTAAGTGAGAAATGTTAGGTAACATGTAACTGTATTATTTCATATTGGAGAGACTGCTGTTGAGGCATCACAACACTCATTTTTTTTTTTTTTTTTTAAACAAGGTCAAACTATGTAGTTGAGACTGACCTGGAACTCACTTGTGTAGCCCAGGTTGGTCTCAATTCACAGCAATCCTCCTGCCTCAGCCTCCCAAGTGCTGGGATTATAGGTGTGCTCCACCACACCCGGCTCTAACAACACTCATTATTGAGAAAATTTTAAATTAAACCAAACAGAAATTTCAACTTATATTGAGTCCATACTTGCCTGCTCAACTTCTTAATTTGAGGAATATATTTATTTAAATATTTTAATTTTACTGTTTAAGCTTTTGTAAAATTTTTTTTCTCATAACATTCTTATTTTTGTAGATAAGGCAATAATCTCTTAATCTGCTTAGTCTATGAAATCATAGAAAACTAGCTCAAAATATACTCTTTTTTTGGTACCAGGATCAAACTCAGGGCCTTGTGCTTGCCAGGCAGGCACTGTGCCACTGAGCTACATACCCAGCTCTGCTGAAAATATGCTTTTAAATTTCTCCCTGAAGTAGAAGGATTTCAGTGAAGTTTTTGGTATTTGTAGAAACATAATTAAGCCAAAGGTACACTATTTCCAGCTAGGTTACTCTGAGTTTGCAACTTTAAGCTGGCAAATTTCAGGTTTGTTGGCAACTGAATCATTTCTGTCTAGTCTTAATGGCTGAGCCAGCCATTCAGGTGATCACTAGCAAGTACAATGATCTAACTATTTATTTCCCATCCAGTTGGATTTCCTTTGTAAACCATGTTAGCGTTCACCTTCTTCCTAATGACAAAATATATCATCATTTCCTTGTTTGTCCTTTAGTAAGTTTAACGTCATTATACTTTCTTAATTTTACTATTAATCTGGCCTCTAGAACTTGTCTTTATTTATTTCAGTGTCTCTAGCCTGATCTTCAAACTTTCTATTGACCAATTTTCATGATTGTTGAAGTCTTTAATAATGAATATTCTTTTTCTATAATAAGTATCACCAGTTTTGTTTCTCTTACTGAAAATCCCATAGGTTTAGATCTTTATTAGGAGAGTTTTCTTTGACGAATGTGCTTAGGTTGAAAGCAATTCCATATGAAATAGGTAAAATGGGATAAATGAGATATTTCTCAGCTCCATGCAGATCATCCATTAAGGAAAACTAGGGTAGAGTGGTAGGAGAGTGGAATTTGGAGACACAAAATTCTTTGGTAATTATTTCCTCCCTTTCCCCAATTTTCTTTTTTTAATCTTTTCTTTAATCATAGCTTTTTGGGGAGGTCATTGTCACATAATATTTGTACATATTTATGGATAAGTAGGAAAATCTGATAAATGCATGCAGTATGTCAAGATCAAGGTAACATTTCCTTCTCCCCAAACATTTGTCATTTCCAGGCGATGGGAAACTTTAGACCCTTCTTTATGAAATCCATCATAAATTAATAGACCATGATCACTGTACTGTGCTGTAGAACACTAACCATAATTCCTCCACTGAAACTGTATTTTGGCAGCATTACCTTACTCTCTGTGTCCACCCTTCTCTTTCTGATCTCTAGGACCATTATGCTACTCCCTTCTATGACACTGACTTTTTTACCTTTCATAAATAAGTGAGAACCACAGTATTTGTCTTGCTGTAACTGGCTTACTTCATTTAGTATGAAGTTCCAGATTTTCTTGATACTCAATGTCCTATCCTCCAAAGGGTGTTGCAAGCCCTGAGTGACAGTTGGTCTTCAGTACGTGCTGAGTCTTTTTCCCACCTCTCTTTGCATTGGAGTCTAGTGTAACACTAGACTCTGGGGCATAAATGCTATGTGCAATAACCTTTTCCCTTCTGTTCCCTCCAGATATTACTGGTTATAGAATTACCACCACCCCTACAAATGGTCAGCAGGGATATTCTTTGGAAGAGGTGGTTCATGCTGATCAGAGTTCCTGCATTTTTGAAAGCCTGAGTCCTGGCCTGGAATACAATGTCAGTGTTTACACTGTCAAAGATGACAAGGAAAGTGTCCCTATCTCTGATACCATCATCCCAGGTAACAGAAAAATAAGCTGTTATTCTCAGAGTGGCAGTTTCAATAAGAGTAGGGATTAGCATCTTAATCCCCAAATGGTTGAGCGGGTCAAGTACAGTTGGGATTTAATTTCAACCTCCCAAGTGCACTCTCCACGACCACGAAGTCAAAGTGACTGTCTCGACAAAGCTTGCTGTTAACGCTGCTTCACTGTCTGCTTCACTGGGATGTTTGTTGCGAGGGGTATGCAACGGAGTGGCAACCATTAACTCTGTACTGTTTGCTCACGTGGAAATATTACTAAAACAATGTCATGTATCTGTACTCAGTGCTGACAGGCTAAAAGTAATATGGTAAATGCATCCCATCGGTACACCTGTGCCTTACTTTGCAGTCCATATCAATTTCCAACAGCTATCCATACAATTTTTGTCCCTGTATGTGAGCATTGAAATCACACTTGGTTGACAACATCCAGATCTTTGTCTTGCAACTTCAAATTCTTCTTCTTTTTTTTTTTTTTTAATTGGGGAAACAGAAAGCAAGAAGTAAAAGGCTATGCCTTCAAGACACTCTTTCTTATGAACTGAAAGGTAGACCTATGCAGGAGCAGATTCATTGTTCATTATTGGATTATGACAGAATGAAAGCACTGGACACACTGTCCCCTCTGCACTGTTGGGTATATTTTTTTAATGCTAATTAAATAACCGTGATTATGAATTTAAAATAGTCAGTAGCCTCAGAATTAGGCCTGTCTGTCCTTGCCTTGAGTGTGCTTTTGAATGGCACATTTCAAGTCATACATTCATAATGCATTATGGCCACAGTGTTGTCATGAGTTCTGCATGGGGAAACAGTAATACATCAGCCAATTTTTTTTTTTTACTTTTATCATGAAAACTTTTATATTTCTACTAAAACAATTTTGTAAACTGGGCATGGTGGTGCATGCCTGTAATCCCAGCATTCGGGAGGCTGAGGCAGAAGGATTTCTGTGAGTTTGAGACCAGCCTGGGCTACATAGTGAGTTCCAGGTCAGTCTCAACTACATAGTGAAACCTTGTCTCAAAAGACCACCCAAAAAAAAAAAAAAAAAAAAAAAACCAACAATTTTGTATTTTTAATGAAACATTGGTGATACTGATTGCAGAGACTACGTATAGATTCTTAAAATGATTTTGACATCCTAAATGGGCCTATGATGTTAGGGATCTAAGAAATTTAAACTGTATTATTTAGGGACATTTTCCAAATGAGCAAAAAGTCCCTAAAAGAATATTACAACCTATTGTAGTCTCCCAGGAAGCAACGCATTCATCATACTTAGGAAGTCTGCAGATAATTTGAAACAGATTGCATATTACCATCATTGCTTTACCATTCCACCAATTGTACTACTGGTTACTTAATATACACTGCTTTATTTTTTTATTCTTTTCTGCTTCTATTTTCCTTTTGCTCCCTTTTTGCTTTGTAACTAAATAGAGGTGCCCCAGCTCACTGACCTCAGTTTTGTTGATATAACCGATTCAAGCATCGGCCTGAGGTGGACCCCGCTAAACTCTTCCACCATTATTGGGTACCGCATCACAGTAGTTGCAACAGGCGAAGGGATCCCTATATTTGAAGATTTTGTGGACTCCTCAGTAGGATACTACACAGTTACAGGGCTGGAGCCGGGCATTGACTATGACATCAGCGTTATCACTCTCATTAATGGCGGAGAGAGTGCCCCTACCACACTGACACAGCAAACGGGTGAATTTTGAAAACTTCTGTGTTTGAGACATGGATGGTGTTGCATGCTGCCGCCAGTTACTCTGGTTAAATATGGATGTTTCAAGGGAGAAACCAGCAAGTGGCCACCTACATTAAGACAGGGTGGATCAGGGGATAAGAAATCAAATGCATATGCTAAACTAACCAGATGAAGGCAAATACAAGTAGTCCTAAGTGCAATTTCACTTAACTGCAAATATATAATCCAGATACCTGACCTGTTAAATATCACGTACCAGAATTTTATTGAACTATAGTTTTTTTTTAAATCTCTAGTTGATAAACACCAGTTAATATCAAGAGGTATACTTCAAAAATGTGTCATGATGCTCTTCCCTCTACCTTTTGATAAATTCCATCGTGTTCCTTCTTTGGACACTAAAAGCACATCACAATTTATGTAGAGTGGAAGGAGCTATTTTGAAATGGGAGAAAAATAAACTTTGCAGCAATCTACTATTTTTTTTTAAATTTTTTTTTTGCTATGACAAAGTAAAGAAACTCCTCTTTCACCACAGTCTGGGGACCAGCATGCAACATTTTAAAGGTTCTCTGCCCTGCATGGTAAGAAACATGCTGAGAACCAATTTGCATGAACCTTCTCACTTTTAAGTAGAATTCACTGAATGGAACTGTAGCTATGTCACTAGGCTATAGATACCTCACGTTGGGGGAAATGCAGAACTCTTGTGTCTTTCCGTCTGTGTGCATGTGTTTCTTTGGAAAGTACTGCTAAGTTTCTTTTTGCTGTGTGGCAACTTAAGCCTCTTCAGCCTGAGATAAAATATTCTTTGGGGGTATTAATAATGTACCTAAATCAACCATTTTCAAAATAGATTAAAATCATTCTTTACAATACACTGATGATGGCAGAAAGGTTAAAGGGGCCTAACAGTACTACAAATAGTGTTTATTTTTAACAGTAGCACACTATAATTTAGATTCGACTTAGATTATTTGCATGATTATGACTATTCCCTTCATGCATGAAATACTGTTTTTACCTTTCCAGCTGTTTTGTTAGCTTTCACTTTAAAATTGCATTAACTTTGTCCTCCTGCTTATTTGAAACCAGCTGTCCCTCCTCCCACTGACCTGCGGTTCACCAATATTGGTCCGGACACTCTGCGTGTCACCTGGGCCCCACCTCCATCCATTGAGCTGACCAACTTCGTGTTGCGCTACTCACCTGTGAAAAATGAGGAGGATGTTGCAGAGCTGTCAATTTCTCCTTCAGACAATGCGGTGGTCTTAACAAGTAAGTAGTCAGATATATCTGGTCAATAAATACTAACCTGGGGCATAATGAATGAATTCTCAGTTCTCAAATCAGTGCAACATGAGAGGGCAACAGAGCTACAAACCCCTCATTTAATATGCAGCTATGTCAATTTTGAACGTTATATTTATTGCCATCTTAATGTAGCTTCAATATCTAAACTTTGTAAAATTCATAAAGGAAAACATTAGCATTTGAGTTCCAAGACTTCAAACACATTCTACTTCTAAGGAAGCACTTAAAAATAAGTGGATATCAAGAGAAATTATTTGATGAAATCAAAATGTTTAGAGAGGAAAAAAATGAAGATTTGAGAGCAGTGTCGTATGTATATCTGTTTTGCTGTGATTTTTTTAAGTGTCAGCAGGTAATCTGTTTAGCATATGAAAACTTAGAAACAGTGACTGCTTGGAGAGATCAGAATGCCTTAAAGGGCTAGAAGTTTAATTTGTATTTCAAAAAGCATCTGTTGGCAGGATTTCTCAGAAGACTGAGGATTTAGAAAACAACTGACATTAAATAAACAACAATTTATGGAGATCGTCTTTTTCTAGTTCCTACCAGTTTGGAACAGACATTTTTCATTAAAGAAAATAAGAATGGGCTGCAACATGATGCTGTGTTTCACATAAACCTTGCTTCTTATTATTTTCACTGTTGTAGTAAAATGTGTAAGAATAGCAAAAGATTCCACATAAGGGAAAAATAGTTTACAATTTAGGTCCATTCCCAAATGGTGATCTGAAAACATCCTCTCTCTTTCAAACTTGTTTTAGAAATTGGCGCACAGAGAAAGGCAACTAAGCATGACCTCGATTTTGGTTTCTTAAGTTTTAGTTGAGGGCAAGAGCATCCTTATGTCTGCGTGGCTACCTCTGTAGGGCCTTTCTATTCAAGAATATTGTGGAATCAGTAGTTCGCACAATTATTCAGTATACAAGCACAACATCAGTCCCATCTTAGCCCAGGTAAGGCACATGTTAATCATGTGTTCTAAGACCTTCTGGTCCCAACACTGTTACTTTAAGGGTTATCTATATAACTAGCTATCTTCGTTTGTTTATTTCTTAGACAAGGTCTCACTATGTAGCTCAGGCCGGCCTTGAACTCACAGCGATCCTCCTGCCTCAGCCTCCCAAGTTCTGGGATTACAGGCATATGCCACCATGCCCAACTCTTCTCCCTCTTTAAAAAAATCACTATTCTCTTGTTTTAGAGATGAAGCAACTGTAGTCTCCATATGTTATTAAACTGTCCCTGGCCAAGTAAGGAAGAAGTTGAGTCCCAGCATCTTAAGCTGGTGCTTTTATAAACCTTGCAGTAGCCAAAGGGTGGGCAACACACAAGGCAATGAGTCTCTATTAAGCAGCAATTCAAAAGCCAGGAAACTTACTTTGTAACTTTTAGATGCTGTGTATCAAAATATGAGAACAGCATGAGCAGGAATGTTTATTAAACTTTTTATAAGTATCGTTTTCTGCTGAAAATGGCAGGACCAGTTATTTCCCTTCAGAATGTGGCTCTTTTCCAATAAACGTTAACTGATAGGACCATTAATCTTGTATACCTGTGTGTGCTCTGGAGCAAGTAAATGAAAGAATATAACTTTTGTGTGTCTCGCTATTCTTTATTAGATGGGGAGTGTTGAGGCAGTGGATGTCTTCTTCACGATGAATATGGTGAATGGTTCCACAAGTTACATGTGTGTCAAAACCTACCAAATGGCACATGTTAGATGTACACATTATATTGCACGGTAATAAAGCTGCTTTGAAAAGTAGTAAGCTGCCTCATAGGATTGTTGTGAGGGGTAAATGATATGCACAATGCCACAGCAATTATCATCATGAGCTCCAACAGACACAACACCAAGTGGATGAGAGGAATGTTACCTGCAGCAGCTCCGCAAGCCCAGCTGAGTCACATTCACAGAGGGGGAGCTGATAGTGGGGCTCTGGGAGGCTACAGGGCCAGGTGACCCTTCCCTCCCACTAACTGCAGTCCATCTCCAGGAGACAGTGGTTACTTAGGTGTAAGTAGGCTACAGGACTGAATGCTTGGAGATTTTTTTTTTTTTAATCAGTTGAAATAGTCCCAGGAGTACTGTGGTTTTTCATGCTTTCAAGCACAAGTCTAAAATAAGTCATGCTTCTCTCTTCAGACCTGCTGCCTGGGACCGATTATTTAATCAGTGTCTCCAGTGTCTATGAACAACATGAGAGCATCCCTCTCAAGGGAAGACAGAAAACAGGTGGGTCCTGGCGGCAACACTGCTTATCAGAGGCTCTCACCTGCCAATTTAAAATGACAAAATGAAATTCTGCTTCTGCAAGTCCATCTTGCCTTTTGTGGTGGTAATGTGTGTAGCTCTGTCATTACTTTTTCATTGTTGGTCTTGAAAATGAAATTAAATCTTACTCAACAATTAGTTACTGATTACCAGTCCTGTCACTGAGGTTCTATACCCTGCTTCTAGAGAAAACTGAAGTTAGTTCAGAAACTTTATTGTTTATCATTTTAAAAACTTCCAAGAAGAGTATCTCATAATCTGTTATATTTAGAGTTGGTGGGCATCTCTTTTCGTTAGAGTGCTCTAATAGTTTATTTAACACTATCATCACCATCTAAGTATTTTTCCTTCTTTACTAAGCCCACAAGTTTACATTTTTTGCTTGATGATGTATCTTTTACAAGATGATAGTAGAGGGCCAGGGATTTAGCTCAGTGGTGCTGAAGCCTGCTCACAAGCCCAAGGTCTGGAGTTCTATCCCCGGTACTAAGAAAAAACAATTATTTTAATACGCCTTCTGAAAAATAGTTTAGTATACTCATTATTTATATTTAACTTACTTCCAAAAAGGAGTTAGAATCGCTCAATTATGTTCAGTTATATTACTGAATAGATTTGTGAATGTTATGAGAAATTTGTTGCAAGCACCAGAGAAGTTAAGTGATTTCAGTATGAAATATTAAAATGTTTTTAAAAATTTAATTAAAAATATATAAAATACTGAATTCTTATGCCAAATTCTCAATCCATGAGGTATTATAATTTGTCCAGAATGATGTCTTTAGTTTTAGCAAGTTTTTTTTTTTTTTTTTTTTTTTGTT